ATGGTGACGGAAAGGAGGAATACCAAGGAATGCACTTCGTCGATTATTGGGAGCAGACACGAAAAGGATAAATAACAACTGGAAAGGATTGCCTAGGTCAGAGTTGAATGGAGGAGACTAGTGGGTGGCTTATGCCTTTCGAAGAGAGGTATTTTAATTTATCTTAATATGATCCAGCTATTCCCACTGCTTAGTATTCTCGGACACTACTCCACTCCATGAGGGGCAACGGGTGTAAGTAAATAGTAATGTATATTAAATTATCGTTTCTAATTAACACTTCACAGCATTCTAGTATGGGTATTTCGTGTCTGATAATCCCCAATACTGAAACTTCAATGGGTCGTACGACAAACTTAGAATCTAAAGATTTCAAGTTCTTGATTGAATTAATGTACTATGTACTTTCTGTTTCGTCAATGAAGTCATGGAATGAACCGAGAGAGGTATGTAATAGTTTATGAATATGAAAATTACCTTTCGAAATCAGGAATAAAGATCAGTGATCTTTAGAAACACTCAAATTAATAAAATCTGAACTACAGGGTTTATCTTCATCAATGGAAAAGAGAACAGCAGCTTTGTAGTTGCATTGCATCCTAACCACAGTCCTCAAAGCTGAAAATGAGATGACTGGGAAAATAGGCTTTCAACGTGTAACATTAAGAGAAGGTCAATAATGGTGGGTGCGGTAATATTTATTTGAAATTGGTTGATCGGATGGCATGGCTCGGCATTGCATTCGTGATCACACATATGTAGAATGTTTGTTATCCATTTTAATTGAATTGTGCTATCTCCAGCCTGGATGTGTTCTTCACCATGTATTGATGACTGTGTAGTGACCTCATTTTGTCAACAAAACGCGATTGGTTCAATGAAAACAATTATTATGATAACCTATTGTACCAGTGATTGTTTTACTGTGCTCGCTTGTTTAACCGTGCTAATGACAGATATTACTCTCCCGTTGACTTTGAACTTGTACGAATTCGGTTACGCTTAGTAACCACGCTTGTACTCCTTTGGCACGATCTTGATATTCTTTCAATACCATGAGATCGCCAGCAAATATATCTCGACTACAGCCATCATCTGCCTTCTGACATTGGTTTACTGGCAGGTAGTCTTCTTGTAGTGTTCATAGTCAATCGCGACTCGACTCCACGCTACAACCGTTTGAATACGTTGAGTCAGTGTAGACAATGATGTGACTTCCATGTTAGATCTTATGTAGTGGGCAGCTAAATCATGACAAATCTAAAATTTCAGGATTAGGTCTATCATTATAGCAGTACTAATGACGAAGTAGACCATAAGTCTACAGCTTTACGGACAGACTTGATGTGCCCAATTTTATCACACATAAACCATTTAGCGGAAGACACATGAATTATGTGGGTGAAATTCACCACCGGAAAAACATCTTTCACACCTGTTCTCATCTCTAAAGTGCTTTGTGATTCTTCTCTGAATCCCATTTCATATTTTTGCGTTAATAAAAACCGTTATTGAACGAACGCGAGCTTGAGCGACCCTAAGAGTTTAATTCATCGAGATGACTAATCAAATTATTAGAAATTTTCACTGACTGAAAATCAAGCTGAGTCACTGCCTCATAGTTAATACATAAAGTTTTGATTTCTAGGAATGAAAGTTTGGATTTCTTGACAGATTTTCTTTCTAAATTCGAAATGTTTATCTCAATAAACAAGCAATCACGAGGGTTACCTACAGGCACGAAAAATTTCCGACTTCACTTCACAGCCTTTTTCTGTAGTTCAAGTATAAATTACTTAACTTTATGATCATTTATTAAACTTTTATCTCTCTGAACTCAAAGCTAGTACACTTTACATGAATAGATAGTAATTCCTTAAGAGATTCGCATGATAATTGAATTAGTTTTTTCTGGAAAAGCTAGACTTTTGAGGAGTTTATAAGCTTCTTTACCGATAAAATCAGGAAATCAACCGTGAAGTTATCATCTTTGATATATTTTATAGTCATGGACCAGATTTTGAACCTCACTATTTATTCTTTAAATTCATCTCTACTTGAAATAGTATCCAACTGTTCAATATTTGACCCAATCGCGACACTAATATGATTATCAGAAGTATTCGGATTAATGTACGAACTAGGAATTCCCGGAGCAGTGCAATTTAAGCCAAGTAGAACTAGACGAGCACAGATAAACGTATCGCACTTGAAATTCGTAATCACCGCGCAATCAGGCACAATGGAATTGCCGTTCGTACAGACATTATAGTAACGTGCTCTATTACCAAAAATGTGTGAGGTAATTGATCACTTTTCTTGTAAAATTCTAGGTCACACTTATTCAAACAAGCTAAAATACATTAAAGACCTAATCTAAGAATATAATCACATGCTCACTCGCGAGATTATCAAGCCATCCATCTGATCTAGCTGTATTGGTGTTCCATTGATTCTCATTGTTTTGTTATTGGCGGAAAAGTTTCAAATAATTGTCTTTTAATGGCTGGTACTGTGTCGAGCCCACATAGTTTGTTCTAGCTTCTGGATAGGTCGATTTATTCATTCTTCTCAAGCCTTATTTTGGCCTTGTTGGTTATTCCCTCATTAAGTCTGTTTTTAAACGATCGTGTGTGTTAATCATGTATTCTATTCATCACGCGTCCGTAACTTATTTTTGGTGCTTCTATAAATATTGAGTAACGCCTAGTCAAATCGAGTTGACTTACTTAACTCCACTGAGTATCACTTCGTTTCGCTTCGGTTTCGTCATCTCTTTTCTCTGATTGTCTGTATGAATCAATGTTTTAGATCGTCGCACAGTCGCAGTAGGGCGCGGGATTACCTGTTCAGACAAACAAAACTTTTCAACATATAAGATAAAGGGAAATATAATGCCTATACAAAATGAGGAAGTGAATGATTAGTTGGACCCTATTGTCTTGGTATATACTTAGTTGTTTGAGGTCAACTCCTAACCAATCAACCTAAGCTGTAACAGAGCCACTAAACATATTCAAAATGATAGCTAGTTTTGAAATCTGCTTTTGATGAAAAATAAATGACTTTCTTCAGGCAATTGTCTACTTCATTCGTAAGAATGGATTAAATTTATTCAGCCAAGTATATTGTATTGCTTTGAAAGTGACCTATATTAATCGCACATGAATATCCTTGCGAGACGGAACTCTAAAAAGATACAAATTATGCGGTGGACTCATGACCTTTGATCTAGTGACGAGCGCCTAAATTCTAGACCATTTATCTGGCATCCCATAGCGTATATTGTTTAATTTTAATCATCTAGGGAAGTTGTAAGACCAGCTCTCGTTTCTCGTTGTGGACGACTGTCTCTCAGTCGACATGGTTGAGCTCCACAAATCACAGATTTTATCTAGAACTCCATGAATTGTATCTCGAAGTTAGCCAATAGTGAGTTTATTATTGATTGTCTAAATAATTTCAGTCCATGTGTAAGTTGTGAAATTTTAGAGTTTATTTTACACATGTATTCTAATTGAAGTAGTATAATAATTATAGTTATTTGAATCTATTTGGTGACTAATAATCACCGAAATAGTGCGATCTAAAGGAGGTAGAATTAGATGAGCACAACTGAAACTGTCAAACTTGGATTTCGTAATCAGCGTGCAATCAAGTGCAAAGGAATCACCAGTTAGTACAAATACTAAAGAAACTCAACTTAGCAAAGGTTCGAACAGCAAGATTAGATAATACTACATATATATATATATAACCTGTATTGCTAAGGGACGACGCTTACTTGCTGTCAGCGTTATCTGGGTGAACTATTGTATGGAAAAATCATAAATGGTTACGGAAATCGTGATGCAAAAGCTGAACATGATACATCAGAACTTCGATCGTTTTTTCTCGACTGACCTGCCAGATAGAGTACTTGTATTTTATGGACTATGTAGCTGGGTACCATCCGAACTCGAAACAAAAATCACAAGTATTATCAATGGCAATAACAATTTATTTTCAACAAACGTAAGCCACACGAGGCATGATAATTCACAGGTGAGAAAAAATTACGGAGTTGTTTATTGTTCGAACATAATGCTTCATTTTTTGACCACTTCAGTAGTCAATACATTCCTATGTTTTTTTATGAAAATGTTGTAAACACTTTCTTCTACCATCCGCACGAGGGTCCAAAACTTGCTGTACTCACTTATCTGTGATTTAGTGAATCGGTATTTTTATGATTATGGTGTTGAGTTGCTAAGTAAGAAACCAATTATTAAGAGTCAGTTAACTTTTCAGATGTCCAAATACTCCTTCTACAGTCACATGACTCTGTCTATTCAAACTATTTTCACAATATTTCAAGGCTATTACTGCATATTTATGGTCAAATTGCACTCAATCGTCGCTATGTGAGACCATATATAGAATACTAAATAAAGAGAAGAGGTATTGTACCAAGCACGAGGGGCATATTCTAAAATAGGTTAAAGGAGTTTTAGCTAAAATCGCAAGACATTTTTCGACTCGTTGTACGATCAATGGACTGACATATCCTTACCTACATTCACCACTATGCCATTGGTTAAACGATGATTAGGTATTAGCTTAATCCATACCTAACTATGTGTTTGACGTCAAAATGCCTATTTTTGATCTGTTAGTAGAAGATGCTTATAGATTTCAAAAGAAATTTTAAATTGCTTTCGTTCGGAATCTCGTTTGTTGAAATACAGAAATTCTCCCACAGAACACATGATATCAGCAATCTTTGTAGAAAAGTTTCAGTGAAGATAGAGTCCTAACAACTCTGAAAGTTATGACGATCATAAGAAGTCTCACCACATTTTCTGCTTCATCTCCTGTAGTGTGAATGACAAAAGGTCTGACTTTGCTTTTAACTAGTTGACTCTGAAGGTCGGAAACAAAGCGTAAATTCTAAACAGTCGAAATCACGTTTTACTTTTCGATAAGGTATTGTTGACTCAAACCTGTAGTGGTTTGTGATTATGCCCATTAAAAGGGGTCATATTGCACCACACAACACCTACATCGTAACTCTTATTAGAAATTTTGACTCTCAATGTAAGTTTAGTCAACATTTCCCTAAGATGTTTAGATGAAAACTTTATCGTGGCAAATGCCACACTTCCTTCCAGACCAATTATATACTGTAGTGATGGTCTTTGTGAGCTTCTTCGATATACGAAGGGCCAGCTTATGCTCAAGTCTTCAGCCCTATCAATTTTCTATGGACCTGAGACTACCGTTGATTCAATGGAGACTTTGTTGGCAGCTCTTAATCAGACTAACGAGACGGAAGTGCTTATGAACCTCTATTCCAGAGATAGTAATTTCTTTTTGTTCTTTCACAGTTCCAGATTGCCTTATAAGCTTCCGCATTGTTGTAACTCCTGTCCGTGATGAGACTGGTGGGTTGCCACTCTACCTACTTTTTTTCAGAGAAGAGGTCAGTAACACACAAACCCTCTCGCAAATGAACAAAGGTATACGCTAAGTTAATTCTGTCATTAACTGTAGGACCAACTCTGCGCACAAAGTGGCAGCTAAAATCTTTTCGAGTAAACAAAAGCCCTAACCATATGCCGAAAACCCCCATTCGAACTAACATATCAAGTATTCATCTACTATTCTCAAAGTTCTATATTTAGAATCTACCAAACCTTCTGTCTTAGACGTGAAAAAGCACTTCAGAGATAAGAAGTATGATACATCTGATTTGAAGCTGGGTCCGGTAGGTGAAGGTAAGTCACTTCCAGCTAATTGTTAGCTAAGATTTAAAGCGTTTCCATCATACGTTGCTTAAGTTCAGTTAAAAACATCTTAGCTTAGTTATCGAGTAATAATCAGTGTTTATACCGCCTCTTCAATACTATTCATAAATTGTTTTATTATTTTTTACACTATTATTGTCTCAGATAAATTATCTAAATATCAGTTCATTCCTAATAATTAAAAGTGTCTTGTGACTGAGAATGATTTGAAGTTTTATTACTTTGTCCTTCTCTCCTAAGGTGCTGTATTAAACTGACGGCTTTGTATACTAGTTTCATTGCTAATGAACGATACTGTCACGATCTATATTCGGTACTAATATGCATCGTGCACGGATCTTCAGTAATATTTTGCTCTATCTGTTCGATGCAGACTTTAGGTACTGAGTGTACTTGGTAGTTAAGATACTCTTTCTTTCTTTATAAAAATGCTTACATTCATAGAAGCACTTTGCGATGCATAGTATGTTTAAAAGCGTAATGGGGGTTAGTTTTACTCTTCGCCAAACAACTCTTTAGTCAGCCATCTCCAAACGGCATTCTCGAATACCAAAATCAGAAAAGTCAGATTACAGATATCTTGGTCTGTCTCAAAAGTGTTTATATCATCATAAAGAGAGCATAGCTCAGTATTTAAACCTTGTATCAAATATGCTTCATACCTTAATCGATGCAAATAATGCTTTATCATTTTTACGAATTCGAAATAAAGAATGGGGTAAGTTTTGGAAGGAAATAAAGTCTCTATATTGCCCTCAGTTGACTTTTATGTGAATTATCAATCATCCCTGAATATTTTTGAGGTGTTATTCTGTGTAAAAGTTCACTTGGCGATAACCTTTTACTGAATTTTCGCGATCGCAGTGAAATTTTGAAGGTTTTGATGTATTTCCCATATCAGTTATAGCTACGTGAATTGCTATTTATATCGGCACTAACATATTTTTCATTATAAAGGTTATATTTATACCGTTAAAGATTAAAATTAGAAGTTGTAGACAGATTATTAGGAAATCGTTTCAAACTATTATTTGTTTATATAGAAAGTAAAATACATCTGGAACACTACTGTTGTTTTCGTAAAATATAAACAACTTTAAAAGTGGTACTTATGGGTCATTGATAAAAAGTTAGTCCATCGCAAGTGATCTCTCTTGCGTTAACATGTTGTCGAATTATGACTTCTGGGTTTCTCAGTTGTCCCAAAGGTCAGTGAGAGTACGTAATGTGAATATGGGACAACATATGGGATATTATTTTGTATCATGAGACTTAATGCTGAGGGAAGCCTCAATTACTGGGAGTTATTCTTTCCTTTATGTCAGGTGTAAACACATCCATCTATGATTTAAGCTTTTTCCAATGAACTTCGGCGACATAAGGCAAATGCTATTCAACACGGTAAAATATTTCGTCAGTTCAGAAACCTAGCCTCATATTTTATATGATAAAGCAGGACAAAAATCATTTTCATTGTATTTCCTATGGTCAAACGACAGTACAATAAGAGCTACCAGTATATACCGCATAAATTATACGTACATCAGTACAGACGGCCTCGCACACATCACTTAAGCATACGTGCATATATTTACGGGAAAGTGATGTACTGCAAAACAATCCAAGTTTCAAGAATGTGAATCTTATACCTATAAGTGCAAGTCGCTAAAGAATGTATCACGCTTTAGAGAGCATATCTTAAAAGCCGAAAAACTAGTTTAATGTATATGTTTTGTAAAAGGTTTCTATAGAGTCTGTCATCTTGACTTAACATTAATTTTCACAAAGGTACTACTATAACGGAGTCATTGGCCCGTCCACAAAGCTTATCTTCAAGCGATAAGATCCAATTTATTGAAGACTGTCCAACTGAGTCTGTATCTGGTCAATCTAAAGAATGTCGTCCAACTTCCTTATTTTTACCAAAAAGTCAAGATGATTCACTTAAAAGAGAATCTCTCTCAAAAATCGATGTTTCAGAAAGCCAGCATGAGACTCCTAAATGCTCTGACAAGTCTAAGCGTAGACCATCTACATGGTATAGAGGTTACGCTGAAGATGAAAGTCCAGAAATAATTCATGGTTCTTCCAGAAAAAGCCGGCACTTACATCCAACCAGTGAAGAGTCTGAGGCTCTGCAATTGGTGCTGAGTAGTCATGCAGAGCCACCAAAATCATCCGTTACTGAGAAATTTGCTCAAGTAAGTAAATTCTGATTATTAAAAATAATCTTTTCAGTTAATACGTTTTAAATCATTTGATGTTGCGAATATTTTGCTTAGGTGTATATTACCTATAGATTATTCACTCTTCCACATACTTGTTCATTGTTATAGTGACACTGGCATTGTGAATTTGTGTTACATTAGTCACAATATCAAACTGTATTCCACTGAATGATTTTCAAACAGTTACGAAATGTCATTTCTCTTTGGACCACAAATTGAACTCATTTATTTATTTATTTTAACACATAGGTATTGGTACAAGGAAGCACCAAATACATATGCGCCACACGAATCTCAATTGATTTGTGTGAGGGCTGTGATACTGTCTGAGTGACCAAACCGAAGCAGGTGGTTTTCTTAGGGGGCCACACCCCGAGCCTTCGACCTGAAGATCTGATCCACAAGGCAGTGGAGCATCGTGAGGAGATGCAGTCCCATGGTAGCCGGTGACCAACGATTGGTTCATACGCCATTTGTTCCTTCAGGATACTGGAACCAGCCCATGTGCACCATTGGACTGGGATCCGGTTAAAGCACCGGACGTTCGCTCTTCGTTCTCTCATTTTCGTAAACAACACTCGTAGTGCGAGAAGGCAGTGAGTAGGACTTCCCTGGCAGAGGCTATGTACGCGTGGCCATGTGAGAGCATTTCGAGAGGGAGAGCGGACTCTCCCCACTCTCGGCCGTACCAGGGCATTTGGGGGACGACAAATTGAACTCATAAGCTAAAATAGTAAATAGGGCCTGGCGCAATACACATTGATCCGCAACGATCGATCAAGATTTATACCAATTAAAGTCTCAAACTATAAATTATAATTTTCTTACAGACATTCCATTCAGAAAATCTAAGTTTCTTGACATGATTCAGACCAACAGACATTCACAACTGCGTAAACTGATATTACATCTTTATTGAAAAGCCCTTAACGTTCTTTCAATATACTCTTATTCTATCTACTATTTCAGAAGTAGATGATGGTTAGTCAACCAGTTTTAATACATATTTCAGCTTTATCAGTTGATGAAATTTCATAATTTCACCAATCGATTTATCATATTACCGAATTACATTACGTCTAACTTGACTATCACTTATTCAATAATTTCATAATATACAAGTAAGAATTTTCGTCTAAATTTGATCGAATAGTTTCACAATATTTGCGCGCCGAGTTAATGTGAGACATTTAAGAGGAAGAATGTATTTGTAAAATCTCAGCGAAAGAATTTGAAGTAAATCCAACGTTTCACCTGGCAATCTGGTTCAAGCTTTATCAAGGAAATTTCAAGGAACAACACATAGACGACTGTTAACAGGAATCCATTCTAAAAGTGCTTGTTCTGCTTTCATACCTAGTTCTATACCTAAACCCGACAATCCACTAAAAATTTCCGTCGGGTCGCCAGATAAACAGAGGGTGTATATCGTCGGCTCCCCGTTTTTACTTAGGTGGAGTCAAATGAATGACTACACTAGGATCCTGTATGTGTCTTAGCCAAGGAGGCCTGTTGTTCGATTTGACATAGGGTACGTACGTTGATGGCTTCAATGTATAATACGGAGGCAGGTTTCAGTGGACTTGGAATAGTATTTCGCGCACTAGACTCGTTGGCCATGGTGACACTTGAGGAGGACGTTTAAATTTGATAGTCCAAGTAGGAGGGATACTAGGAATCAAGGGGTTAAAATGATTGGTCCTGCTTGCTGTTAGAAATATGAGGGCGGTTATCACTTCCCGGTCGCCCACACCGCGAAAGGGTTCTTCTGGAGATACCTGAGAATGAAATGGGGTTAGAGGTAGTCTTAGTGACGTGAGAGCGTAACCGCAGTGCCTAAGGAACAACTGTTTGAGGTCGGTCGAACACGAGCTCTTTGTAAGTAATTTTCATGTTAGGTCCGTACTTGTTGAGACCTTACCGCCGGAGATGAATATCCGTACGATAAGGCGAGGTGTGCATCTTAGGGCTGACCTTCTCTAACCACACCTGTCCTTGTGGGAAGGCAGCATCGCTGTTATGCTAGTTGTCTGAAGGAAATACCTTACTGCCGCCATATCTCTGTACAGTCAACAGCACGACTTCGCTCTCGGACCTTAAGTTTGCTACTTTTAGTCTTACCGCTCTTTAACCGACCTGTATGTCATGGTAGGACCTTGAGAAACGATTTTTCAAGGCCAGTATAGCTCGATTGTTTCCTTGCGATAGGCAATCTCGATCACCACGTCAAGGTATAAGCAACGGTCGGGATTTATATTATTATTATTATTGGCTTTATTTAATATTATATTTGGTGCAATATAGAATTCGCAGCACAAAATATTTCAACAAATTTCATTTTCTTATGTCTTGATCTATCTTCGCAATAAATGTTAAGTGGTCACCAGTTAGATGTTAGCAATTTAGGAATTGACATTTGAATAATATACATTCTTTTCGATGCATATTGCCAACAACCATGATGTCTCTGTAAATTGTACATCGAAATATTGTCACAAACGTTCCTGTGAATAGGTTCTGCAACTACTGACCATAATAATGTATTAGAACAAACAAAAAAACACATAAGTTGTTGAAATATCTAGATGGTAGGAGAATAGATAGCCCAGATATTCAAACAGATCGCCTAGATAGTTAGATTACAATTCAATAGTTTATTAGTTCATGTGGTTCACTTTAACTTCTTATGTGATTGGATTATAACATTTTCGCCCCCGAATGCCCTGGTATGGCCGAAAGTGGGGAGGGTCCGCTCTCCCTCTCGAAATGCTCTCACGTGGCCACGTGTATGTAGCCTCTGCCAGGAAAGTCCTACTCATTACTTTCACGTGGCGGGGGTGTTGTTTACGAAAATGAGAGGACAAAAAGCGAATGTCCGGCACTGGCTTTAACCGGATCCCAAACCAATGATGCACATGGGCTGGTTCCAGTATCCTGAAGGAACAAATGGTGTATGAACCAATCGTTGGTCACCGGCTACCATGGGACTGCATCTCCTCATGATGCTCCACTGCCTTGTGGGTCAGATCTTCAGGTTGACGAAGGCCCCCTAAGAAAACCACCTGCTTCGGTTTGGGCACCCGAGTAGTATCACAATCCTCACACAAATGAGATCTGTGTAGTGCATATGTATTTGGTGCCTCCTTGTACCAATATCTATATGTTAAAATAAAAAAATTAAACTATTTACATACTCTTACATATTTTACATTGAATGATTAAAAAACACTCAAGTATCAGTGAAGTCGATTATAAGTTTAAAGACTAAAGTTTTTACTTTCGGTTGAATAGTATCATTGATCTATATTCAATGTATTATTTAAATTATAAGTATACATACACATCGATACTGGATAAATAGTTTCCAAGTGAATTAACTCACCATTTATATCCTTGTGTTTTATAGTTTATAAATAATTTAAATATATATAAGTAACAATTTTTAATTTTTTTTTATAAAAAAAAAGAATTCAGTGAAGAATAAAAAATAGATATAATTCCATTTACTCAAAGCTCCACAAGTCAGTGGAGCATCATAAGGAGATGCCGTCCCATGGTGGTCGGTGACCAACGACTGGTTCATACACCATTTGTTCCTTCAGGATACTGGAACTAGCCCATGTGCACCATTGGATTGGGATCCGATTAAAGCTCCGGACATTCTCTTTTCGTCCTCTCATTTTCGTAAACAACACCCGTGATACGAGAAGTCAGTGAGTAGGACTTCTCTGACAGAGGCTGTATACGCGTGGTCGTGTGAGAGTATTTGGAGAGGGAGAGCAGACTCTCCTCACTTTCGGCCGTACCAGGGCATTTGGGGGCTAAATACAAAGGAGTAAACTATATATATATTTTACAGTTAAAATCACAACTTGATCTAAGCTAGACCACCATTGAAAACCTGAAAGCACTTAATGTCTGTTTTAATCGTAAATTCCTTCATTTAATTTATAGTTGATCAATAAGATCATAAACAATGTGTACGTGTTTGTTTGTTTGTTTGTGTGTGTGTGTTTGTGTGTGCAACATAAACCATCCATCGTTAAAATGATAAATAAACGGGAAAAAAAAACAAAATTGAGAAGTAAACACAAAAGAAGTACATTTTGTAGTGGTAAACAAAACAAAGCTGAAATTTATGCCAGAAAAATTCGAATAACAACAAACGATTACGTAAGCAGACTAGGTAATCAGCAAACAAAAAAAAGTGACATCCACAAATTGGTTAAAATAAAATAATAATACACAGTTATATTTCAATAGTTGAAATCATGAGTCAATCGAAGCTAGACATCACCATGGAAGACCTGGAAACACTGGACGGCCGTTTCGTCCTAGTATGGGACTCCTCAGCAGTGCGCAGTTATATTTGTATAATACAAAAAAACACTAATACAGTTAATCAATACATAAAACAGTTCACTACACTTTTATTCTACATAGATATATGTGTCGAATTTTAATACTGATACATAAACTTCCTGTATATGCCCCCCCTCAAATTAGTTACCGAGTGCCCCCAAATGCCCTGGTACGGTCGAAAGTGGGGAGAGTCCGCTCTCCCTCTCGAAATGCTCTCACATGGCCACGCGTACATAGCCTCTGCCAGGGAAGTCCTACTCACTGCCTTCTCGTGGCGGGGGTGTTGCTTACGAAAATGAGAGGACGAAAAGCGAATGGCCGGCGCTTTAACCGGATCCCAAATCAATGGTGCACATGGGCTGGCTCCAGTATCCTGAAGGAACAAATGGCGTATGAACCAAACGTTGGTCACCGGCTACCATGGGACAGCATCTCCTTACGATGCTCCACTGCCTTGTGGGTCAGACGTTCAGGTCGAAGGCTCGGGTTGTGGCCCCCTAAGAAAACCTCCTGCTTCGGTTTGGGCACTCAGGCAGTATCACAGCCCTCACACAAATCAATTGAGATTCGTGTGGCGCATATGTATTTGGTGCCTCCTTGTACCAATATCTATGTGTTAAAATAAATAAATAAATAAAGTTACCGAGTAAGAAGGAAGCATTTTATTGACCAACCGAATCGAGAAATAACTACATTTATTCATATATATATATAACCCTTAGAAATTTAAGCCTCAGTTTCCTTTCAATGGGGTATTCTAATCCCTAGAAAATTAATCCCAATCATGACCGATTGCATAAGCTCCCAAATGCCCTGGTATGGCCGAGAGCTGGGAGGGTTCGCCCTCCCTCTCGAAATACTCTCACACGGCCACGCGTATACAGCCTCTGCCAGGGAAGTCCTACTCACTGCCTTCTCGTGGCGGGGGTGTTGTTTACGAAAATGAGAGGACGAAAAGCGAACGTCCGGCGCTATAACCGGTTCCCAATTCTATGGTGCACATGGGCTCCAGTATCCTGAAGGAACAAATGGCGTATGAACCAACTTTTGGTCACCGGCTTCCATGGGACTGCATCTCCTCACGATGCTCCACTGCCTTGTGGACTAGACCTTTAGGTCAAAGGCTCGGGGTGTGGCCCCCTAAGAAAACCACCTGCTTCGGTTTGGGCACCCGGGCAGTATCTCAGCCCACACACCAAAACATGATGAAATAAGTGGCATAAGCTTAAGATGAAGGATACATCAATACTAACTAATGGTTGAAAAGTTCCATACTAAGATGAAATGTCCGTCCAGTACTTTCAGGTTTTTTTTATTGGCGGTTTAACATTGATTGGATTCATGATCTTAATCATAATGGCAATAAGCTATGGGAAATATGGTGATTTTTGTTTTTATAGAAAAAAAAACTTGTTTATATTTCTTATGACAGTCACATTTAGCTAATCATAATCCACATAGAGCCTAGTGCAAATGTGTATTAACCTAAGTTGTCATACCAATTTCAACACAAAAAGATTAAATTAACAATAAGGAATAACAAAGCAGTTGGAACAATAGTAGTTAGCAGTACTAGTATAAAGGATTAAACATTCAAAAATATCATATATAATGGAGGTATAAATTCAAGGAATATAATTGAATCTTCAGGCTATGAGGAAGATAAAAAATACATGTGGTTACAATATAGAGATTGAATCTAAGTCATGTTGCCAAGTTTCCGTGATCAGGTGATCTGTACCTACTAATATTGATTTATTTCAAAAGTTAGTTCTGTTCCAACTAATATTATTCATCAAGATCGACGATGGTTGGGGATACGCAACGCGTGCTCTAACCTTCTAGGTCAATAACAATTCACTGCATCATCAAATTAATCACAATCCCTGCTCAGTACCATTCAGTGACAACACCATGTTAGTAATACAGGGGTTCGGTGACGTGTGTTTGTCCATAGTGACGATTATTTCACTGTTCTTCCAGAGACTTCCACATTGGCTTTTATTTGTCTACTCTAAGACTAGCTGAAAAAAAGTGAAGAGATGGTTAGTTCATAACTTGACATCGGAGTATTAAAGAAAGCTGTAAAGCACTGGTACCCATCGATCCTTCATAACTCCCTGATTGAGATTCTAAAAATAGTACAACTTACAAACTTGAAATCTTATCAGATATCGGTTAGAATAAAAACCAATAGGAGCGACATTGTAATTTGTTTTAGTTTCTTTCAAAAGTGAAAGAATTTCCTGTATATAAAACTATTCTTTCTAGTTGTATTTTTTCCTAATGAAATTGCTTCTCTCACTTCTTTTCTTTTCATAATCTCATTTTCTTATTGTATGTCTCATATAGAATATGATACCTCTGTTTACCAATATTTATACATTTAACTGAATTATCACATTTGAGACGAAGAAATCGACTTCATCAAAGCCTTAATAAATTAAATTTAATTTTACCGAAACAGATATTACACAATTAACCAATACTGGTATAGTCGAATTCAACTTTCATTTGAATAATAATCTATATCAGAAGGGGTTTTTGTGGATATTATAGTAATTTCAATGGTTAAGATCATGAATCCGTTGAAGCTAGATACTACCATGGAAAACCTGAAAGCACTGGACGGCTGTTTCGTTGTATTATGGCACTCTTCAGAAGTACGCATCCACGACTTTGCCCCCCGCAAGATTCGAACCCAGGAATTACTAGTTTCGCTGAGGAGTCCCATAATAGGACGAAACGAAATAATATATGTGTTTTATTTGTAAATCTATTTACTGTCTTCTCTTTGTTTGTTGTTGTTCTTGTTGTTTATTTTAGTTTCTATCTATGGATGAAGATTTACATGTTGAGCATCGTTTTCAATCTCCACGTATGCATAAATTTACACTAAAACATTATAGTGTTTTTAAAGCTGTTTGGGATTGGATTATATTAGCACTTATTATCTATACAGCTATTTTTACTCCATATGTAACTGTTTTTCTTATGAATACAGGAAATAAATATGCAAAATTAATTTCTGTAAGTGTTTTGTTTTGTTTTGTAAAGTTTTAACAAAAATTTTTTGATACTGTTTCTCTCCGCCCCCTCTCTCTTTGTCTGTCTGTTTGTCTTCCCCCCTTCTCCTTGGTTTCCAAGTTAAGAATTTATTCAAGATATTAATTAAAATGAATATTTCAATTTACTGCTCACTACCTTTTTTTTGTCAGAAGTTTGTTAAATCATTAATTAAATCAAGTACAGTTTTATGTTTTTGGCTATAAGTGACATTATTTGAATTTTAAGGCCAAGAATACTGTAGTATACAATTTATTGTTTAGTACCTTCGTAGAATATGAGAGTCCGCTCTCCCTCTCCAAATGCTCTCACATGGCCACGCGTATATAGCCTCTGCCGGGAAAGTCCTACTCACTGCCTTCTCGTGACATTACTGTTGTTTACAAAAATGAGAGGACGAAGAGCGAATGTCCGGCACCGGCTTTAACCGGATCCCAAACCAATGGTGCACATCGGCTGACTCCAATATCCTGATGGAACAAATGGCGTATGAACCAATCGTTGGTCACCGGCTACCATGGGACTGCATCTCCTTACGATGCTCCACTGCCTTGTGGATCAGACGTTCAGGTCGACGAGGGCTCGGGGTGTGATTCCCTGTGGAAACCACCTGCTTTGGTTTGGGCACCCGGACAGCATCACAGCCCTCACACATATCAAATGAGATCTGTGTAGTGCATATGTATTTGGTGCCTCCTTGTACCAATATCTATGTGTTAAAATAAATAAATAAATAAATATAATATGAAAATCATACATTAAATACATTATTTGCATATCTTCCATTAGTTGTCATTTATATACTTCATGATTCTTTTAATTCTTTTATTACAATTACTCTCTGTTTCACCTTCTGTTCTCTTCAATTGAATCTTCTCAATCTTCTGTTGACATACATTCCATTTCCGATTGGTGTTACATACTATTTTTGTCTGTCAATATATGTCGGATGCAACAGAATTCTATCCAAATATTTAAATCGAACTAGGTTTCATATAAAAGATGGATAATGGCTAGCAGTGCAATCGAAGACGCACGTTTCGTCTCATTTGGGACTCGTCAGCTGGATGTGTCTAATGTTCACCCCGGGTCTCGAACCCAGTAACGTTTGCTTCAAGCGTCCTGATAGCCACTAGTTTGTGCAATGGGGTGGAGTTTAAAGTCACTTGATATTGTTTGCTTGAATCTTCTGATTGATGTTGAGGACTGTAATTGATCAGTCTCATTGGAATTTGCGCATACCTTAGTTCACAAGCATTATAAACAAAGATGGATCCATCAGTTACTCAAATGAAACTTATCAACTATTTTAGATAGAGTGTGTTAGAACAACAAAGTTTGCAGAACAAAATGACTCCATCAGTCTATTTCACGATATCTTATCAGCTGCACACAACTTGAAATTATAATTATTAATGTAATGATCATTACTAACAAATGTTTAGAATACCTTAGTTTATGAAGTTTAGGTGAATGTTCAATAACATAATCAAAAATAATCCTTTCCCTAAGACTTTTATTCTTATTTCGTTTTCTGATATTCATGTTGATATCATGTTGAGCGATTAGCCAATCACCTATTGATTTCACTACCCTCAGGTAACCTCTGGACTGTTATTTCTCAATATGAATCTTAACTATGTTTATTCATACAATTTGTTGCCCCTAAATACTCTGGTACGACCGAGAGTGAAGAGTCCACTCTTTCTTTTAAAATACCCCCAAATACCAACACGCATATAACTACTGTCAGGGAAATCCTATTCATTGCCTTCTCGCGAAGGGAGGTGTTGTTTACGAAACCGGGATGACGAAAAGCGAATGTCCAGCGCTTTAACCAGGTTGGTGGACACGGATGGTCCACTTAGGGGAGTTGAAAAACCCCCTTATCCCAAACTAATGGTGTACATGAGTTCCAGAATTCTGAGGAAAACAAATGGCATCTGAACCTACTGTTAGTCACCGGTTATCATGAGACTGCACCTCCTTACGTTGCTGCACTGTCTTGTGGATTAGACTTTTAAGTCAAAGGCTCCAGGTGTGATCACTTAAGAAAACTACCTGTATCGGTAGTATCTCAGCTCTCACATAAATCGAATGATTTGTGTGGCCTATATATTTCGATTACGTTCGTAAATATGTATCTAAACTTCTTAAACTAAGGTATTCTCAACAATTGACAACAATGATGTTTATATTAACAATTGTTATTTCAATAGTTGAAATCATGAATCAATTGAAGCTAGACCACCATGAAAAACCTAGAAGCACTGGACTACCGTTTCGTCCTATTATGGGACTCCTCAGCAGTGCGCATCCACGATCCCGCCACTCGCGGGATTCGAACCCAGAGCCTATCAGTCTCGCGCCAGGCGCTTAATCAACTAGACCACTGAGTTGTATGCAGCTGATGAATTCATTTTATTCTGCAAACTTTTTTGTATTCTTACTCTCCGTATCAAAGGATCTAGTTGTTTGAAACTTACCAATTATTATTCATCGAATGTATTGAAATGTACTTTCTTAATACCTAAATTATGGTTGTCAAGGTCAATTCTTATAACATATTTCGAATAACATCATCTTACAGTTTCATCAGTATTATTATTTTCTTTAGCATACTCAATATTCTTAGGTGTTTGCCTTGTTCATAGAGGCTTTATATATATTCACTTGTGGTCTTTATCACTGAAGTAATACATTCAATCATTCAATACTGACTGAGTATTCCTTTGGTTTTATAATTCTATCTATAAAAGAACATGTATAAGTCCTACATTTGGTGCAATATGTTAGACAATATTATAGGATTGTGAAGCATGTATTCATGCACGCATACATATATAAATATATGTGCGTTGATGTTGTATACACATCTGCATATCCTACCTGTTGTTATCGATTGAATAGCTAATTATTATCGTTGTTTGTTTAATATTGTTTGTGTGTGTGTGTATGTGTGTGTATATTTCGCACTTCTTATTACGCTTATATAAGTAGTATTCTCCTTGTTTCTAATATTTGAAGCTATATTTCAGCCTATTTTTAATTTATTATCTCTTTATCTATCTATATATCTGTCGCTGTTTTGTTATTATTAAAATGGTTTATAATGCATAGTTTTTATTTACCGTCTTATCCTATTTCTTCCTTGTATGGGTTCTATTTAATAAGAATTTATAGTGTTTGTTCGTGCACAGTAATTACATAGTTACTATTATTATTATTATTATTATTATTATTATTATTATTATTATTATAAATGATAGTACTAATAAAATATGCTTAATTTTGTTATATTTTTAATGGTTGCTAGCAGGCATTAATAAAACAGCTGTGATTATAATAAGGCCATTTTATACAGATGCATCTTTTTTGCTCTTATATTCCTTTCACAATTTTCTAGATATACTCGCTGTCTTACACACACACACACACACATGGGTTTTATGTAATTGATAGATTATCGAGAACTAATGACATTTGTATTTATTAAGCAGTTATATACATATATAACTATTAGCTTGTAAGTTTAGATACCACTTCACTTAATTCGTTATTACTAGCAATTACATAATGTAATAAAGTAATGTTTTAAATTGGATTGTTAGACGTGGATAATCGTCAGGAAACTCATTTCAAGCGACTTCAAATGCCGTGGTATGGTTAAGGGTGGGGTAAGTCTGTTGTTTCTTTCGAAATGCTGTCATATGGCTACGTGTATATAGCCATTGACAGGAAAGTCCCATTCATTGCCTTCTCGTGGTAGATGGTGTATGAACACATTCTTGCTCACCGATCACTATGGGACTGCATTTCTTAAAGTTGCACCGTTACCTTGTGGATTAGACCTGTAGGGGGTCGGTCTCTAAGAAAACCACATGCTTCGATTTGGATACCTTGGAAGTATGCTAGACTACATATAAATTTATTGTGTGCCGCACATATATTTTGGTGCCTCCTTGTACCTATGTTTATGTATTGAAATAAATAGTAGTGTTCAAAGCATGGGATAGTTAGTATTTTATCCTAGCACCAATATAAAACATAGTCATTTTATTTAATATTTATTTGAACATATAGATATTGGTACAAGGAGGCACCAAATACATATGCACTACACAGATCTCATTTGGTATGTGTGAGGTCTGTGATACTGCCCAGGTGCCCAAACCAAAGCAGGTGGTTTCCCCAGGCGGCCACACCCGGAGCCTTCGACCTAAAGGTCTGATCCACAAGGCAGTGGAGCATCGTAAGGAGATGCAGTCCCATGGTAGCCGGTGACCAACGATTGGTTCATACGCCATTTGTTCCTTCAGGATACTGGAGCCAGCCGATGTGCACCATTGGATTGGGATCCGGTTAAAGCACCGGACGTTCGCTCTTCGTTCTCTCATTTTTGTAAACAACAGTAATGCCACGAGTAGAACTTCCCTGACAGAGCTTTTTTGCGCGTGACCATGTGAGAGCATTTCGAGAGGGAGAGCAGACTCTCCCCGCTCTCGGCCATACCAGGGCGTTTGGGGGCAGTTCTGAATTGAACAAAAGGTTGTTGGCCACAATTCATCCATATCACTATATTCCTAATGTATATATATATATATATATATATATATATATATATATATATATATATCAGTCAGTCAGTAACAACGTGGAACTTCGTACGTACGTACATCAGTTCGAGTTGACATACCACATTAGCACAGAGATTCAGTTATCGATTCAAATCCCGTAGTGGTAGAGGTAGTGAGAGTATAAGTAGTGATAGGGAACATTAGGGTTTGATGATGTTATTCAAAGAGTATAATCCAGTGAGATAAATTTGGAAAGAGGAAAATAAAGGACATGAAGAATTCAGAAGATTAGAGTTTGAGAGAACACAAAGAGTGGATGCACCTGCGTCATTGCAAACGATTTTGAGCCATGTCATTCAAGGTCTCTAACCATCGGTTGCTATCATCTCGCGGTCTCCAATCAGGTAGTCTACACCTAGCAACATGACTCAGTCCACTTGTCAGTGACTTGATGGATTTGTGCCATGTTTGGGTCTGGCCGCCCCTAGCTTTCTTTCAACCTACTCCTACACCATAAAACATAGCACGTCGGGGCAGTCGGTGGTCGGGCATGCGCAACACATGTCCCAGCCATCTCAAATGATTGAGTTTCACTACTTCCTCAATTGATTTTCCATCCTTACCTAGTACCCGTTTCCTAACAACTGAGTTACTTACTCGGTGGTCCCAGGATATACGAGCAATGTTTCGAAGACATCTATGGTCAAATACTAGTAACCTACGAATATCCTCTACTCTTACCGGCCATGTTTCACTGCCATAAAGTAGGACGGAACGAACTGCTGCGCAGTAAACACGTCCTTTGGTTGATAGACGGATATCTCGCCTAGGCCACAAATGACGCAAGTTGGCAAAAGCTAGTCAATTGTTCTGTATCCATGCTGAGATTTCGTCACACACCGGACCACAAGGGCTGATGAGACTTCCGAGATATATATATATATATATATATATATATATATATATATATATATATATAGTTAGTGTGTATGTTCAGTCACATTTAACAATATAGAAAGTTATTATATAATCATATATGATGTAATATGTTTCATTGTATTGATCAATTATGAATTTTCTTAATTATTTATGATAATAATGATGATAACAGGCAACACTTTCAATAGTTTTTTGTGTAATTTCTATCTCCACTTGTTGTTATCTTTCAACAACAAAAAAAATAAATAAAGTAAACATACACACAAAGGCAAAATAGGCACTTTCAAAATATTATCCGATCAAACAAGATGACATTGTTTAGTATTCAGTTATTCCTTCTTCTTTTTTTCATCTAAAGTATATAAGTGAACAAGGCGAAAAATAAGATCATATGTTTGAACTAATTGGGAATTCTTAGTATTACATACGATCAACATCAAAGTGTATTTGTATTTGCGGGTGTGTGTGTGTGTGCGTGTGTTTGTGTTTGCTCGTGTTTGTGTGTAATGTAATGTAATGTAATGTATTGTAATGTAGTGTAGTGTAATATAGGCGTGATTAAATCAAATGAAATAATGTATTTATCATTGGGTACACTATGGAAAAGTATGCTTTTTTCTCTTCGTCTTCTTCTTCTTCTTCTTCTTCTTTAGATTAGAAGTGGTAATTTCACAAAATCTAATTTTGGACAAATTAAAAAGACAGGGAATCATGCATCATTCTATTTGAAGATTTCTCATCATTTAGTAATGATGAAATTGTTTTAAAACTACGATGATATGAGAAGTATATTAAGTTGAATTGAATTTTCAGAATAAGACATGAGATCATACATTATACATATGTCATTATGAGAAGGGGTTTTGTGGAAATTTTTAATAATTTCAGTAGTTAAAATCATGAGTCAATTGAAGCTAGACCACCATAGAAAACCTGAAAGAATTGGTTGACCGTTTCGTCCTAGTATGGGACTTCTCAGCAGTGCACATCCACGATCTCGCCCCCCCCTCGCGAGATTCGAACCCAGGACCTATCAGTCTCGTGCGCGAGCATTTAACCATTAGACCACTGAGCCAGACGGCATCCAACGGTGTTAATGTCTAACTTCAACTAATGCTGAGGAATCCTATACTAGGACGAAACAACTGTCCAATGCTTCCAGATTTTCCATGATAGTCTAGCTTCAATTGACTCATGATATCAACTAGTGTTATATATGTAATCATTGGATAGTCATAAATGCAATATACTCTTTAGTCTTTAATATTTAATTAGTTCTATCAATCATTGTATACTGCTATTCATAGAATAGAAACTTATTTGTCGCTTCAATAAGAATATATTTGTTTGTTTCCTTGTGTATATATATATGTGTATGTGTGTGGAATTCTTAGCGAGCTGAGTTGTTTCATTTCTAAACTTTTATCATCTATATACTAATTTTTTTTGTTTTATTTAAAACCATAATAAAACATTTCTCAATTTACACCATCTAGTTTAGTAAATGTAACATGATCAAATTAATTCGTTATAATTTGCGTGGGATTTGACACAGATGTATATGAGTCTCATGTTGTTACATCACAACAGTATTAATATGAACAGCAAATTAATCAGATTAGTAATCATAATAATATTAATAATGTTAGTTAGTCAGTCAGTCAGTCAGTCAGCTACAACGTACAACCAGGAACATATATACATCGGTCCAAGTTGCTATACCGCATTAGCACAACAAGATAAACACCGAATTCATAGAAGTAGTTAATTCAGTGGTGGTAATATATAGAAGAAAGATTGCATATAAGAAGATAGTACAGGGAGAAACAATTAGTTCATAGAACTAATTATGCCTGCCAACTTACGTCATCTATGGCGAAGGCGAGATATCCGTCTATCAATTAAGGGACGAGTATACTGCGCGGCAGTTCGTTCCGTCCTTCTATACGGCTGCGAAACATGGCCTTTAAGAGTGGAAGATATTCGTAAGTTACTGGTATTTGATCACAGGTGCCTTAGAAACATTGCGGGTATCTGCTGGGATCACCGGGTAAGTAATAGTGAGGTTAGACGTAGGGTATTAGGGAATGATGGTAAATCAGTTGATGAGGTTATGAATCTTGATCGACTGAGATGGTTGGGCCACGTGTTGCGTATGCCTGAACACCGCTTACCACGACGCGCAATGCTGACTAGTGCAGGGGATAATTGGAAGAAAGTTAGGGGCGGCCAAACCAAAACGTGGCATCAGTGCTTGAAGTCACTAACTTCTGGTCTGAGCCATGTTGGGAGATTCAGACTGCCTGGTTGGGGTCCGCGTGACTATCGTAACCAATGGTTGGAGACTCTTGGTGACATGGCTCAGAATCGATCACAATGGCGTCGGTGTATACACTCTCTGTCTTCCTTTAAATTAAGAGATTAAAATCGCTTCATATCTGTCTAGGAACTAATTCTTTCTTCCTTTACTATCTCCTTATACACAATCTTTCTTCTATATATTACCACCACTGAATTAACTACTTCTATGAATCCGGTGTTCAAATTGTTGTGCTAATGCGGTATGGCAACTTGGACCGATGCATATACGTGCCTGGTCCTACGTTGCAGCTGACTGACTGACTAATTATGCCTTGTCACATCAACCAATTGATTCTAGTTGTTATGACTTTAATTTCAAAAATGTCCATTTAATAGAATCATTAACTTATTGATGAGTCTATTATTGATAAATCCGTTTACGATGAGAAAAAAAACCAGATTAATATAGCAATTAAGTATACTGACACTAAATGGTTTATACAGTTTCATTCTACTTACAATCTGACTAATGAAAACACGAGAAACGCCATGCGATTTAATCTTTACTATTGTATTATTTTATGATTCAAATACTCATATCATGATATACATCAAGTAGAAAACACCACAACACATTATAAATGAAGTTATTTATGTCATAAAATAAAGTAATATTGTGATTCATACTACTTATGCTGACTGATATAAGTAGTTTCTAGCAGCTATCGGAAAGTCGAATGCATGCCGAAAGTAGAAGATTAAATTGAAAAGACCATTTTAGGATATAGATAACAATTCACTTGGTATTGTTTGGCTTGTATCTTCTCATTGAGGTTTAAGACTGCAGTTAATCAGTCTGTTATTGGCTGATCAATTGCAGTCTTAAACCTCAATGGGAAGATTCAAGTGAAACAATATCAAGTGAATTAAACTTCACCCCATTGCATAAGCAAGTAGCTATCAGGACTCAGTACCTGAGTGGATAACACGATGGAGTTTGAAGCGAATGGTACTGGGTTCGAGTCGCACAGTGAACATCAACAAGTCTGAGATGAAGGTACATCCAGCTGACGAGTCCCAAATAGGACGAAACGTGCGTCAAACTGGATTCCACTGCTAGACACTATCCATCATTGCATACTACAATATAGAAAACAATTATAATAAAAATAGAATTGGAAGGATCATGTAACACGTACAAGATAACTGAAGGAAGATGTGCAAATAATGTATTTGATATATGGTTTTTCTTATCTGGGTTCGCATTCACTACAATGGGTAGATAATTAATTAACTATCATTTATAAGCAGTAAAAAGTCTATTCACAGATAAATATTTGACTGAAGGCTTGCATTTTTAGGTCGATATACGTATATACGTGGAGTAATCCATTTTAGAGTAATAGTTCTCAACAATCCCCATTTTCCATATATTTTTTGAATTTATATCTAACGCAATAATTTCTAGCAGAGATGGATGATGGTTAGTAATGGAAACCAGAATGGATGGGTGTATCTGCATCTTGAATTAGATGTTCACTCCAGGAGTCGAACCCCGTACCGCTCGCTCCAAAACGCCAATGGCTTTCCCGTTGAAGTAAAGTGTAATTGATTCTTGTGTTGGTCATTTGATTCTTCTCATTGACTAGTCTGCTATAGTGCTTAATATCAATGGGAAGATTTAAACAACTCATGGAAATCAGCTACAACAATTATCGTGTTTAGGAAGCCCCCAGATTTTGTACATATTGTTATTATTCAATACAATACAATATTGAACCATTTTCTTTAAAAAGTTACCTTTTCTCTCGTTTGTTATTATTATTTTTTTTTGTTTAAACTTTAAAGTCAGGAAACATAACAACGACAACACCACCATCGACAGCGATCACTTTTGATATAAATCATATACAGAATAAATCTTCAACAAATAATCATTCTGAATCATTAGATATTCTTCCTACTGTCCACCCATCAATCACTACCTCTTCATCATCATCATCATCATCATCATCACCAACATTATTATCTACAGTAGATATCTTAGTTGATGTCATGTTCATTATTGATATTTTAATTAATTTTCGTACAACTTATGTGAATAAAAATGATGAAGTTGTTTCACATCCAAAACGTATAGCTGCTCATTATATTAAAGGCTGGTTTATTATTGATCTGGTAGCGGCAATTCCATTTGATTTATTATTTTTTCGTACAGCTGGTGATCAAGTAAGTCACATAGAAAAAAATACGTGTACGTGTATACCTTTTTACTTTACTATGAATTGTGATCATGTTATTTTAGTACATTTTTACCAAATCGTTCTATTCTTTCATATTGTTACTGACTGGATCCTAACATATAATCTTTCATTATCATTAGACTGGCAGGACTCTAATCCTGTACTCACTCTGGATGGTGAGCAGGTATAAGTAGTAGAGAAGTTCGTATATCTAGGTCGCTGCATAAGTGCTGGTGGTGGCGTGAGTGATGAGATCAATGCTGAACGTATAGTGAAAGCCAGAGCGGCTTATGCCAATCTGAACCATGTTTGGCGCCTTCGTGATGTCAGTCTGGCTGTAAAAGGTCGGATCTACAAGGCGTCGCTGAGAACAGTTTTGCTCTATGATTGTGAAACCTGGCCTCTCCGAGCTGAGGATGTTAGATGACTCTCTGTGTTCGATCATCGCTGTCTCCGAAGGATCGCTGACATCGAGTGGCAACACCATGTCAGTAATGCAGAGGTTCGGCATCGAGTGTTCGGTCACAGAGACGATAATGAAATTGGTGTCACCATCTTGAAACACCGACTTACGTGGCTTGGACATGTTCTACGAATGTCGTCCCAGAGAATTCCTCGTCGTGCATTATTTGCCGACTCTGGGACTGGTTGGAAAAAGCGGAGAGGTGGTCAGTATATGACATGGTGTGGTGGTATGAAAGAAAGCTGCAAAGGGCTGAATTGTGTTGGTCCTTCACGACTCCCTGGCTGGGGTCCGAGAGATGGTGTAACACAGTGGCTAGAGACGTTATCAGATATGGCTCAGAATAGAAGCCAGTGGCGATCCTGTTGTAACCTTCTTTTACTTTCTTCATAAAAAGTGGCTGTATCTTCCTTAACTGAAAGATTTCTTCTGATTGTACCTTTTCGTCTCCCCCCATTATCGTTCTCTTTTTTTTTATAATTCCCTACGTTCCTTACCTTTTTTTCGCTTCTCTTTAAATTCTCATTGTTTTGTGCGGCGCATATATATTTGGTGCCCCCCTGTACCAATATTTATGTATTCAAATAAAATAAATAAATTAAACATATAATCTTGACCTTTCTGTTGATTATCTCTTGCTGGATAATTTACAATTTTGTTCTTTTTTCACTCTCTGTGTTCTCTCAAACTTTAATCTTCTGTATTTTTCATATCTGTTATTTTCTTTCCAAATCTATTCCACTGGATTATACTCCTTCAATAACATCATCAATCCCTAATGTTCCCTATCACTACTTATACTTTTAGTATCTCTACCACTATGGGATTTGAATCGATAAGTGAATCTCTGTGTTAATGTGGTATGTCAACTCGAACTGATGTATGTACGTACGAAGTTATGTAGAGGTTAACCAAGTTTGTTGAGATAAATTTCCTCTATATTCGACTCCAAATAAAGATATCTCATTAACCGAGTATTTAATACAGGCTTAATCTCCTAGTAGAATTATCGATTTACTCGAGATCATTAAAAAGCCCAAAAATCAGTTATAGAGATAGTTTATTGTGAAAACTTGGTAAAGTCCGCAAGCATACAGCAAGCAAGCACCGAGTGAGTCAAAAATCAAAGTGTGTGTGTCTGTGTTAAAAGATTCCTATATATTTTTGAGTATCAATCAAGTGTAGATAAATTATTGATTATCTATGTGTCACAACCAATGGGGAATAGAATAGGGATAGAAGTGCAGACACACGCTCAATCATACTCATATGGAAATTAACACAGTTGTGTAGACAAATAATACATTAATGGAATGGGCTTGCTACAGTTACACGTTGTTACTGACTGACTGACTTTCAACTTGTATGTTGTGGCAGCTCAATTGACTTGATAAAAATGAATAGAATAAGTGCAGAGATGTAAGTGAATCTCAAACAGAAATATATTAACACTAAACTAATCCCTTAGATTAGGCGCTACATTACAACTTGATTTATAGAATTCTGTTTATATGAATGGATTAGGTCAAAATGAAATTGATCACTACTCAGTGATCAAGTAATTATAAATGTATCTCAATCCCACAGAATTTCAGTTGTAGTAGCCGAACCAGATCAATGGATCTGAATCTGACGAGGAGTATTAGTCTCTTGAAGAGATCCCAGATAGACCTGGCTGTTGATTGTCTATTAATACAAAACCTAGGTCCAAAGTTTCTTGTTGATTACTTCTAACTAATTATCACTAACCGACTAGGTATATAATTATGTATATTAACAAATGAATATTATTGTTCGGTTAAAATAGGAAAATTGATACTTCTTTGTTAAATAATTAAAATGCTCATGTTGAACGTTTAATTTCATGCATTTCGCCCCCAAATGCCCTGGTACGACCGAAGATGGGGAGATTCAGCTTTCCCTCTCTCAATGCCTTCAAATACCGGCTTTTATACAACACTGTTAAAGAATTACCACTCACTACCTTCTCGCAGAAGGGACGTTGTTTACGAAATTAAGAGGACGAAAAGTGAATGTTGGACTCTCTAACTAGGTTTGTTGATATGGAGGATCCAGCTAGGGGAGTTAGAAAACCATTATTCCAAACAGATGGTGCACATAAGCTCAAGGATTCCGGGGGAACAAAAGGTGTGTGAACCTATTGTTGGTCACCGGCTATCATGGGACTGTTTCTCCTAACGTCGCTCCACTACCCTTTGGATTAGATTTCTGGGTGAAAAGCTTGGGGAATAGCCTCCTAGGAAAACCATCTGCTTCTGTTTTGGAGCTTAGGCAAACCGAATGATTTGCATGGAGCATATAAATAAATTTACAAATTCGAATCAAATCAAAATAACTATTAAAGCAAAATAATATGCAAAACTACGAAATATAATAAATTTATGCAATATTATAACTCAATTGTTATTCCGACTTTGTTCGAACACTTCATTTTCTATGTATAGTGTTGTGCGTTAATAAAATTTTATGATTAAGTTTTTAATCATAATAACAAACCATTTGTTATAGTGTCAACTTAGATTTATTTAAATACATAATCATTGGTACAAGGAGGCAGCAAACATATATGCGCCACATAAATCATTCGATTTATGTAAGGATTGGGATTCTGTCCGGGTGCCCAAATCAAAGCAGGTGGTTTTCTTAGGGGTCAACACACCGAGCCTTCGACCTAAAGGTCTGATCCACAAGGCAGTGGAGCATCGTAAGGAGATGCAGTCCGAGGGTAGCCGGTGACAAACGATTGGTTCATATGCCATTAGTTCCTTCAGGATACTGGAACTATCCCATGTGCACCATTGGTTTGGGGTCCGGTTAAAGCGCAGGACATTCACTTTTCGTCCTCTCATTTTCGTAAACAACATTAATGCCACGAGAAGTCAGTAAGTAGAACTTCGCTGGCAGAGGCTATATACTCGTGGCTATTTGAGAGGGAGACAGGACTCTCCCCACTCACGACCGTACGAGGGCATTTTGGGGGCAACTATCATATAAACTATTTGATCAATAACATAAACCTACACTTGATAAATGAGTTACGTAATCTAACTCAGAATTTCATCTTAATGATCATTCTTCACTTAACTTCATCTATCAAAGAGAGAATTAAATTTGTTTGTTTTAATCAAGAATAAATTAAAATAAATATAAAATTTTAATCCATTAAACAGTAAACCAATAAGTTCCTATAAGTTAGATCTTAAAATAATTTGGAATAAATAATTATTTTCAAAAAAATCTGACAACGTTGTTTCCTTCTCCCCTTTCCCCCCTCTCTGCCACACACATACACACACAAACACATACAACAAGTGTAATAAAATGATAAGATGAAAATTTTATTTCTAAAGGTTACCACTCTCGTTGAACTACATTCAATATGAGTATTGTTAAGACGAACTCAATAACTGATCTATGTAGAATATCTATTTTAAGCTTATTGTTTATTAATCAATTAAAATGGTATATACTAACCTTCAACAAACTAAATTTTGTCACGAATATAGTTGATAAAAAAAAAATGAAGGAATACAGTTTGAATTCTATGCAGATTATTCTGATATCACAAGATTTATAAGATTAAATAGACGGTGGTTAGTAATGAAATCCAAGACGTGCATTTCATATACTTACATCTTAGCTGATGAATCCTAAATAGGATGAAATACGCGATTCTGAATTCCACTGTTAGCAACTATTTATTTCATTCTCTTTCATTAATGGTACTCAATATTATAATCTATTATATTGTTAACTCATTCGCCCTAATATAATAAATTGTTCTAAACGTTTTTCTATTGATATATATATATTTATAGAAATCAAAGAGTAGATATTTATACTAGTGTCTATATATGCTTATTAATGGATGTATATGTCATTGGTAAATGATGACACTATATTACTTAAGAGGGATAATCATAACAATCAGAAATATGAAAAAAACAAACAAACAAACAAACAATATCTAATGAAGTCATTAAATTTTCTTCTCAAACAAGCATTTGTTGTTTTTTTTTTTTGTTCTCGAATGAGAAGGAAAACGCCCAAACATATATGTGTAGATGTTTAGAAAGATCAATTCATTTAGGTATATACATATTCCATTTAAGGAACTAATATTACCTTCTTTAAATACTCAAAAGAAAACTCATCATTGTCATAAACAACAACAACAACAACAGAGATATTCACGTACCTACGTACATACACACATACATGAATATAAATAAATAATTTAATCTGACAACACTCAAAAAATTTGAAAAAAATCTTGGGTAAAATATGAGAAATCAAATAGTTACTAAATGAGTAATAACAACACCATCAATAAAAAGGTTTTTAATTGAGATCATGAACCGATTGATGTTAAACTATCATTGAAAACCTGGAAGCATTAGGCTGCCGTTTCGTTCTAGTATGAGACTCCTCAGTGGCAGTGCGCATCCACGATCCCGATCGCGCGATTCCAACCTAGGGCCTTCAGTCTCGCGCGCGAACGCTTAACCTACTGGACCACTGAGCCAGCAGGCATCTAACGGTGTTAATGTCAAATCTCAAACAATCCACGAAATTCCGCGACCATCTTCCATTGTACTGAGATAGACATCTGTTTCTATCCGACACGGATTAGCTCCACTGATCACGACTTCTCACCAGAACTCCGAGAATGGTTATTGAAACAAGAAAGAAATAACCTATTTATTATCAGATTAGGGGTTGTGAAGATTGTCAGGTTTTTTGATTGACATCATGAACCGATTGATGTTAGACAACCATTAAAAACCTAGAAGCACTGGAAGGCCGTTAGACATTAACACCATTGGATGCCAGCTGGCTCAATGGTCGAGTAGGTTAAGCGTTCGCACGCGAGGCCGTGCGCCCTGGGTTCGAATCCAGCGATCGGGATAGTGAATGCGCACTGCTTAAGAGTCTCACAATAGGACGAAATGGCCGTCCAGTACTTCCAAGTTTTCAATGATGGTCTAACATGAATCCGTTCATGATCTTAATCAAAAACTTGACAATCTCCACAACCCCTAAACTGATAATAAAAAGGTTATTTCTCTCTTGTTTCAATAACGATTCATTTACACTTTTGAACATGAAAAATTTATATGTACATATGATAGACAAGTAGTAAACAAATGGTAGTTACACTACTACTATTACTGTAATGAATGAAGACTGAGGTGAAGTAAACCAATTTACTTTTTTATACAAAATCACACAATACCTTATTAAAATATGAAAATCACACATTAAATACATCATATGCATATCATTGTTTAATTGTCGTTTACATACTTCATCATTCTTCCGATCCTGCTATTAGTCCGAATGCTTTTCGTTCTCTTTTGCCTTCTGTTTATTTCATTCTTTTCCTGGTAAACATTCTACTTTCAATTGCTGCTATATACTACTTTTGTCTATATGCATAATTGGTGCACATCATAATATCTATTGATCATAGGAGGTTACTTACTTACTTACGCCTGTTACTCCTCGCGAAGGAGCATAGGCCGCTCACCAGCATTCGCCATCCAACCCTGTTCCAACCAATCCTTTCCAGCTCTTTCCAGTTCTTATTCATCCCTTTTATATCCGCTTCTATTTCCCGACGTAATGTGTTCTTTTGCCTTTCTCTTTTCCGCTTCCCTTCACTATTCCAAGGAGGACCTAGCCCTCCTATCGCATAGGCGGTTAGTTTTATAATATTGAATATCTTTGCTTATTCATTGAAATAATTGGTTAATTAGTGCCACGTACTAAGATCAATGTATACAAATCTGAAGGGGTTTTGTGAAAATTCTTAATAATTTCAATAGTTGAAATCATGAATCACTTGAAGTTAGACCACCATAGAAAACCTGGAAGAATTGGTTGGCCGTTTCGTCCTACTATGGGACTCTTCCTCATCAATGCGCATCCACAAATCTATCTATTAATCAATGTATATCGTATTAAAATTTTTGGTTATCAAATAAATTTGTCATTTAACATCTTCGCATTCTTACTCGTGTGGTTGAATTCAGTTTCCCTATTAAAATACCAAGATATATTCTCAGTTACAACAGAATGACATGTTTTTCTTTTGACAAAGTCAACAAATCACAATTGATTGGTCACTAGGTGGTGATCAATATCATGGTTGTCTAGTCCTTATTAGTGCAGATCGAATGCTATCGACCATGTTGCAATGTGGCCACTAGTCTAAGTGATTCGACACTACAACATGGTCGATGGCATTCGATCTGCACTAATAAGGACTAGACAACCATGATATTGATCACCACCTAGTGATCAATCAATTGTGATTACATCTCAGTCCTACAAGAGGTCGGTCGCGGCTCGGATAGCTGTGGTAACGTCTCTGACTGTGAAGCTGGGTGACACGGGATAGAATCTGTCAGGTAGCACCAGTTCCCTCAAAGATTACAGGTACACCTTGCTGACGAGTGCCAAGTAACATGAAACCCGGGTCCAGGGTTTCCTGTCGAATACCTCCGGCCAGCATCTAAAGTCAATAAATCTTTATTTCTACCAGTTTTCTATGTTATTACTTCACACTGTAGAAATCACAATCGTTTCCTATTTCAAGTATTTAACAGTAATAAGACATATAAGGGCGTATACACAACAATCATAATCAAATGTGTGATATTTGAATAAAGCGATTATTATTGTATGTATATTTCTAAGTTTTTAGATGTACAATATAATGTGAATTTCTTCAATTAATTGACTTAACACTAATCATAGTAGATAAAAATGATAATGGAGCAATTTACTTATATTTCCCTTCTTCTGGGAGATCTTTTCCAGTTGTTACTGATCCTTTTCATGTCTGCTTTCAGTTTCCAACGTTATGTGTTCCTAGGTCTTCGTGTTTTTTTTATTTTCCCTTTAAAATTCCAAGCAGTTTGATGATTTCCACAATAATATGACCCATACAGTTCCAGGGTCTTTTCCTAAATTCCTCTTCAATTGGGAATTGGTTTGTTCTCTTACACAGTAGACTGTTGCCTATGGTATTCAACCATCGGATATTCAGTATCTTGCGTAGATAATTGTTTATCAATACTTGTAATTTTTTGATGATTGTTGTGATCGTTCTCCAAGTTTCAACTCTAGATAATAGAACTATCTTGATCAGAGTTAGAGGGAGGTGAAAGGAGAGTGATCTAAAAAACGAAAAAAAAAGATTCAATCGTTTAAAAATGACTTTTTTCTGCCCGTAAATTTGTTTGTAGTGAGGAAAATTAAATGAAAGTATTGAGGAATCATTGTTGGAGATGTATTCTCTGTACGTACAGTTGTGGGCAGGTCAGTTGTGGAGAGATTCTAATAGCTCACTTATCTTTGAAGGATAATGGAAGCTGCACAACGAAACCATTCAGTTCAGAGAGAGTACAACACCAGCTACCCCTATGTTATTCACCATTACATGTTGACTTAAGCTTTGAGCATCTCGAGATTTCTAAACAAATGTCAAGTTGATTTGTTTTAATGTTTTTGTTTTCACATCTGTTAGTTTGATTAGTTGATTGGATGTAGATACTTTGCTGTCTCTACGTCTTACTGCATAAATGGACTGCAGTTGACATTTTGTTATGGCAAAAATCTCAAGCTTGTGTAACTAGATTGCTATGAATTGATAATTTAGTGGTCAGCTAATAAATCTCAAGTTTTAAATCTCGTTTCACTTAATTCAGTTTAGCCAGAACTCCGAGAATTTTTTGACGAAGCTAGTCACTGGTGAGCACATTGTAATTATCAGTTTAGGGATTGTGAGAAGTCTTGACCACTGGAGCTAATCTGTGTCAGGTAGAAACAAGTGTCTACCTCAGTACAATGGAAGATGGTCGCGCAACTTCGTGGATTGGTTCACGTTAGACATTAATACCGTTGGATGCCGGCCAGCTCAGTGGTCCAGTAGGTTAAGCGTTCGCGAGCGAGACTGAAGGCCCTGGGTTGAAATCCCGCGATCGGGATCGTGGATGCACACTACCACTGAGGAGTCCCATACTAGGACGAAACGGCTGTCCAATGCTTCCAGGTTTCCAATGGTGGTCTACAATAAATCGGTTCATGAGCTCAATCAAAAACTTGACAACCTCTACAACCCCTAAACTGAGAACTTTGAATTATTAAGATGAATGAATAAACGGTAGCTGATTGGCAAATCCAAGGATACCATATGGCCGAGTGATCAATAACCCCGAGATCGGATTATTGCTTGAAAACTACAAACAAAATAAAAGACAAGATAACTGTCTGGAAGATTGGGCTTTTTGTTCTGATATAACAGCCTGCCTATAGGTGAATTATTAACAAAAAATAATATGATTAACTGTCATGTTTATTTATTAATTTACTTACTAAGTACATATTCATATCCTCGGTTATAAGTCACACTCTTAGTATATGGGCTAGTAATATTATCTATCTGCCTAATCCCCCGATTTAGGAAGAACTAGATTAAAACATTCTACTTAATGGCTAGAAGTTAAATATCTTAACTACACTGTTCCATGTCATAATGGCTTAGGGGAATTAGGACCTCATCTTCATACGTAGTGTTTGTCAAACCTGAGTACAAAATTCTATTATGGTAAGTTATATTTTGAGAAAATGTCATTGCCAACTATTTGATAGGACTCTCCAGCAGTGCGCATCCATGATCCCGCTCCTCGCGAGATTCGAACCCAGGACCTACCAGTCTAGCGCCAGGCGCTTAAACAACTTCAACCAATGCACGAAGTTGCTCCACCGTACACCATTGTCTTCAGTGAGCTGACCTGGTTGAACTCCACTGGTAACGGCTTCTTACTAGAACTCCAGGAGTATCATGGATGCGCTTTGCTGAGGAATCCTATACTAGGACGAAACGGCCGTCCAGTGCTTCTAAGTTTTCCATGGTGGTCTAGCTTCAATTGACTCATGATTTCAACTAGTGAAATTTCTGAAAATCTCTACACAATCCCTTTTGATAACTATTTGATATTCAAATAGCTGACTAGTTTCAATCTTGATGTGTTTCTTTACCTTTCCTATAAATGATTAGCTCTTCATTATATTTTATTACAATAATTATAAAGTTTTATTAAATAAGAGATACTATAATCAATATGTTTGTTGTATTAATTTTGTATTTTCATAAACTTTATAGCCTACTGCTCTTACAGGTTTATTAAAATCAGCTCGTCTTCTACGTTTAGTGGGTATTGTACGTAAATTGGATCGATATTCAGAATATGGTGCTTCTATTTTAATACTATTAACAGCATTATTTGCTTTAATTGCCCATTGGTTAGCGTGTATTTGGTAAGCGGGTTTTCTTGTGAATTGTTTGTTTTATGGGAATCTACAGTTAATCTTACAGAAACGACTAAGAAATGACTTGATCATCCTGATGAGACCTAGACGCTAAGGTCTGGGTCGATAACACCGGATGTGAAGACACGATGGTACAATATGGGCTAGGAGAAAGAAATGAAAATGACGAGGGATTTGCAAATGTATATGCTTTCAACAATATGGTTATAGATAAAAGTATTTTCTCTAAAAAAAGGCATGCACTAAGTTATATTGGTTTCACTGTATCATTTTAAACAGAATCCGATCGTTCACATTTACACCAATAAAAAATTAGGTATGAAGTTGTCCGAAATGGTTAGAAGCAATCAGTTGACAACCGTCAATCCCAGATCCCTTATAACTTGTCAACAAGGCATACGCAAGCTTATGTGATTTAATCATCATCTCCTTGAGATTTGAATGTATATTACACTCAGTGATTGTCAGAGGTGTTATTATTAAGTTAGTGAGGGCGTTACGGGTTGTGTTGTATACTAGTGATGTCAATAGATATAAGTAGTATATATCATCAATCGAAAATGAAATGCATGGCGGCAGAAAATTAAAAAGATCGAAGAAAAGAGAACGAGAACAATGAATTATTGTTGTTAAAACGAAGAGACAATGAAAACTGTGACGATTGATTGATATTTTGAAAATGAAGTATTTACTATATAGACCTCAGATGTTCTGTAATTTTATGTTCCAATCCATTTGGTTGTCCCCGCTTATACTCTCATTCATTACAGTTATCATTTCTGTAAATTATTTGTAAACAACTGTTTGTAAAGTCTCACAGTTTTAGTGCAACCAATGGTAAAAGTACTATAATGTTAGTAATCTTATTATTATTATTATTATTTGAAGTAGTTTTTTTTATCGGGAATTCGACTTGAGTTTATAGTAATATGAAACGTCTATCAATAACTATGTACATTGATCTAGTAATATCCCCAGTAGTTATCTATGATTCTCCAATGTATATAATTTAACAGTATCATTATTGATGAAGAGTAGAATATGTGATGTCCCTTATAAATCCAGTGTTCATCTTGTTGTGCTAATGCAGTATGGCAACTTGGACCGATGCATGATCCTACGTTGCAGCTGACTGACTGACTTAATATCCCTTATGATGTAAATATCACCGGAAATTAAAAATGCCAAATTCTTCACCATCATATGATAATTAATTTCATTGAAATTGCGAACTGATTAATTCAGAACCACTGATACAAACCTAGAAACAGTGAATAACCGTCCCGTTCTAGTATAGGACTCCTCGACAGCGTGTATCCACAACTCTCCACATAGGATTCGGACTTAATACCCTCGATCTCGCGCGCGAACACTTAACTTCTGGACCATTGAGATGAGACCCAATAATGTTTCTGTCTAACTTAAATCAATTCACAACCATCTTTCATTGTTTTCGATAGATAACTGCCTCATATGCAGTACACTTTAGCTCCATTTGTCACAGCTTCTCATTAAAACTCCTCTCGAAGCCTGTCATTAGTGAGCACATGATCCTTATCGGTATGGGGTTGTGGAGATCATTGAATTTCATTGAAACTTAGATCAGTTCATTATTTGAATAAAATTTGACGATCTTCACAACCTATTGCTGATATAATCAATTTGATTATTTCTATAATAACCAGATGACTAAGATAAAAGTGGTTAAGTGCTCGCGCGCGAAACCATTAGGTCCTGGGTTCGAATCTCGCAGGGGGCGAGGTCGTGGATGCGCACTGCTGAGGAGTCCCATACTAGGACGGAACGACTGTCTAATGCTTCCAGGTTTGATGGTGTAGCTTCAACTGACTCATGATCTTAACCATTGAAAATGAAGTGAATTTTCGAGTTGATAATCTATACTGATTGTAAACTGAGTACCTATTATTATAATATACAATATGCTAAGTATCATCAAAAAATAGAAAAAACTTTAGAATTTTGATCCTTGCATGTAAATGTTAGACAGTCTCAATAGTATCCCTCGTCAAAATCTTTAGAGGTGTAGAAAATGAAGAATCATATGTCATGTTATTAATTGAATAGTTACCTATACCAGTAGTATATTTGATTATATTTCCAGAGATTTCTAAGTCTAAGGTTATACATGACTGTGCATAACCTAACCTTGGTATTATAGCTCTTACTTATATTTCACAACTTTTCTTCATTATTCAATTTGACATGTAGAAGTAGTTCGTGGCTAGAGGAAAACGTCAAGGAAGGCAGTAATTAGCGTTCCAATAGTAGACTTATCATTAAAACACCAGACAGCTTCACTATAATGTATATGTATGGCACTCACCACTCTAAATTATAAAGATTTATTTCAACTTATAATGAAAAAAAAATATCAAAAAAATTTCTACGAAACAATCACTACAAGTGAGAATCGTATGATGTTTATTAATTAACTTCTAGATGAAATTCTTCAAGTTCTGTAGAGTTATCATTGAACAGTATAGCTCAACTATGCTAAAAAATAAGCCAATTATTATTGATAACAGGAAATGATTGTCAGATTATTTCATGAATTGTTTAAAATTGTAAAAGTGTGAATAATCCTTTTTTAATTTTGTTTTCAAAAAGTATCTTGCTCACACTCATGTTCGATATACCCTACACTGTCTCTGTTTTCCAAACCTATCCTGACCTAAATCACTCCATTAAAAAATCTCGGTTAAAAGTTTAATTTTCTTTGTAGTCCGTGGAATTGTTCTCTTCAATTGAATTCCTTTAAGAATTTTTAATATACACATATTCATAACGTTATATTCAATCATATTCTCTTACAGTTCCTCTGTTACATAATTTCTATTTAATATAGGTATGCTATTGGTAATGCAGAACATTTATATAGAGATCCAAAAATTGGTTGGTTAGATACATTAGCTATACATACTGAACAATATTATACTGATCAACCAAATTCTGGTCCTGATTTAAAAACAAAATATATCACTGCATTATATTTCACTTTTTCTAGTCTTACATCAATTGGTTTCGGTAATGTTAGTCCTAATACAAATGCTGAAAAAGTATTCTCTATTATAGTAATGTTAGTTGGTTGTAAGTTTCTTTTTTTTTTTTTTTTTGTTTCTTCATAAACTATTATCAGTATATTAAAAGTTTATGTTCTACTGTTATTATTATTATTATTTAGAACTGTAAACCTCCTGATCTCTGTCGGTATATGGACACTCCTTGAGCCATTGCTTCATCTAAGACTTAGTAGCTTAATGATTAATAACCTCAATGTTTCAAGCGACAAATACCATGGTTCGAGTCAGAGTATTATTATTATTATTATTATCAGATTAGAGAGATACTACTAGTACTGTATCCAACTGACGAGTCTCAAGTAGGCCGAAACTTACCTTATGGCTAAGTCATAATCACAACTTAGTTGTGATATGTATATATATGTGACCCAGTTATCTTCACCCATTTGTCCATTTAATAAGTATTGATTGATTGATTGATTGGTTTGTTATCTTCTACCGTTTTGTTTTGTGTAGGTCACGTTGTTTATTAATTCACTCTGTTTTTTTTTCCTTGTTTACTTTAGTATATATGACCAATTTTCTTTCTGCTTGACCTTTTCTCCACTATAACATTGTGATATTATGTCAATTTGTTTACATATTCAATTTAAAAAAGAAATAAATAAACAGGGAAATTTGTTTACCGAATTTTCTATTTCCTTACTGTAATACGAATGGTTATATAAACAGTTGTTTTTACTACCAATGCTAATACTGTTACCATTATTATTATTATTATTATCATCATTAGTATTAATAGTCTTTGTGTATACAAAGTTTTGGACCGATGCATATACGTGCCTGGTCCTACGTTGCAGCTAACTGACTGACTGACTGATACAAAGTTTTCTTTAGATTACAGAAATGAATATAATCAATACAATTCGACAAAACTAGCTTTATGGATTGTATACAACTGATGACAATGTGAAAAATCATCGACTGAGCTAAATTAAGCAGTAACACAGTTGTTTTGTCAGTTGTGTTTTTTTTTTTCAATACTCTACAATTTACTGAAGTTATATGAATTTTCAGTGTTTATTTCAATATTTACCATTGATTAATCACCAAGTAATAACCAATTTCATGTTTGTCACATCCATCTTAATTCCGATCGGATTGTATCGATCGAGTTACAATGTGGTCATTGGCTCAAGTTATTCAACATCATAAGCTTGCAAAAGGATACGACATATACGACATTGGTGGCTACTCAGTGGTCAGTTGATGACAAATATATATCAGTCCTACAGGAAGTTGAGTGTTACGGGATCGAATCTTCCTCCTCCTGCAGTATCTGTTCTCTCAAGATTATTTGTATAATTTGTTGACGAGTGTTGAACAGCATGAGATCTAGGTCGCGCAGGGTATCCTGTCGACAACCACATTACATATTTACTCTGAAAATTCTTTTGCTGTAACGAAGCCTATTATTATAAATAACTTTTAACGCTTTCGACTTCTCAACATCATGTTTCCCATTCTCTCTCCATTCTTGTTTAACTTTATCGTTGACGTGCTTTTAGAAATAACGCCTTCCACATCTGACTTTCCAGGGGTTGAACTTCTAGCGAAAGATTCACTTGTTGACTTAGAGTATGCCGATGACATAATTTGGTGAAGACGCTGACAAAATTCAGAGTCTTCTAACCAATCTAAGCAACAATGAAAGCATGTTCGGCATGCGATTCCCTCCCTCGAAATGCAAAATCTTGCTTCAGGATTGGGTTGCATCGACACCCAAACTAATGATAGGGAGTGAAGTAGTTGATTGTGTCGACCGCTTCACTTATCCTGGAAGTTTCATCAGCCCTTGTGGTCTAGTGTGTGACGAAATGTCAGCACGGTTACAGAATGTTCGACTAGCTTTTGCCAACTTGCATCATTTGTGGCGTAGGCGAGATATCCGTCTATCAACCAAAGGACGTGTTTACTGCGCAGCAGTTCGTTCCGTCCTACTCTATGGCAGTGAAACATGGCCGGCAAGAGTAGAGGATATTCGTAGGTTACTAGTATTTGATCATAGATGTCTTCGAAACATTGCTCGTATATCCTGAGACCACCGAGTAAGTAACTCAATTGTTAGGAAAGGGGTACTAGGTGAGGATGGCAAATCAATTGATGAAGTAGTGAAACTTCATCAGTTGAGATGTCTGGGACATGTGTTACGTATGCCCAACCACCGACTACCCCGACGTGCGATGTTTTATGGTGTAGGAGTAGGTTGAAAGAAAGCTATGGCCGGCGAGACATTGCACAAATCCATGAAGTCACAGACAAGTGGACTGAGCCATGTTGGTAGGTGTAGACTACCTGATTGGAGACCGCGAGATGATAGCAACCGATGGTTAGAGACCTTGAATGACATGGCTCAAAATTGGTTGCAGTGGTGCAGGCACATCCACCCTTTGTGTTCTCCCATATTCTAATCTTCTGAATTCTTCATGTCCTTTATTTTCTTTCCAAATTTATTCCACTGGATTATACTCTTTGAATAACATCATCAAACCCTAATGTTCCCTATCACTACTTATACTTTCACTATCTCTACCACTACGGGATTTTAATCGATAACTGAATCTCTGTGTTAATGTGGTATGTCAACTCGAACTGATGTATGTACGTACGAAGTTCCACGTTGTCACTGACTGACTGTTTACCATTAAGTAACTGATAAGAAACTACATGTATTGCATTCAGCAACACAGATATGAATCCATTTTTCTTATTGTTCCAATGTGACATGTCTATAATTTATGAACAAACCAATGAAATTACGTATAACAGGTTTTGAATTTCGGCGCAAAATTCATTAATCCCTATAGTTAAATATTATTTTCCTACTATTTTATAACCTTCTTTTGACCCGCCTTAAGTAATTGAATTATCTCAAGGTCACTGATTATTAATGTAGTTTAGAAAATTAATCGAAACAATTTCCTAGTAGTGTGTAGAGTGTTGTGGACATGGTTAAATTTTTACAATTTTACATTACAAAGCTAATGAATGAATAGATTGATACTGTGGTGTGTACTACTTATGTAGACAAAAGTAGTATATGATGTTAGTCGTGAACAGAATGTCTGGCAGCAGAAGATGGGGGAAGAGCGGGAACACAATGCAATTTGTATGAAAATGCATAAACAATGAAATGTCAGACAATGGATTGATGTTTGCAACAGGAACAGTCCAGTTCGATGTGATGGATTGATATTTTGCAAATTAACGATATACTATATGGTTTTTTTATTTTACCAATTAATTCCGTAATTTTGAGCTAAATACATTCGATTGTCCCCATTAGTATTCTTATCCACTACAATACTACTGAATTGTTTCATGTATATTTACAACTTATTAGTTGAAAATATTTTGCTGATAGACAACAACTTCAGGCAAAATAAAGTTAATAGTTAGTTTCAATAGTTAAAATCATGAGTCAATTGAAGTTAGACCACCATGGAAAAATTGGAAGTACTGTACAGTCGTTTCGTCCTAGTATGAGACTCCTCAGCAGTGCGCATCCGACTCAGTGGTCTAATGGTTAGTCGCTCGCGCGCAAGACTGATAGGTCCTGGGTTCGTATCTCGCGAGGTGGGGGCAGTATCGTGCATGCGCACTCCTGAGGAGTCACATACTAGGACGAAGCGGCCGTTCAGTGTTTCCAGGTTTTCCATTGTGAACTAGCTTCAATTGACTCATGATTTAAACCAGTGAAATTTCTGAAAATCTCCACAAAACCCCTTCTGATAATAGTTAGTTGTTAAGCTCGAATGCTGAATGTTAAATTTTAATTTGTTTAAAAACACCAATGGATTTGTTAAGATTGTGTAAAAGATTTTGTTGTGAAAACAGATCATGATGATTTATAGTAAAAACAATACATCAAATATTCATAATCAGGTCTGACTTTGAACGAGATGACTTTAAGTTATGTTAAAGGTAAGGTAGCGGTGTTCATCTCTCGATTGCTCATATTATGGAAGATTTCTTCTTCTCGAGGGATATAGAAATAAAACAGTTGTAGGTGGTCGTTTAGAGGACCTATGAGTATAACAGAAGAGCTGGTTATATATCACCTTCCTACAACAAGTTCGTCAAATGGTAACTTCGTAATTTGTATGTCATGGGGCAAAATAAAAGGTACCATTTTTTATAATCGAAATTTTATAACCTTGTTCTTTCATTGTTCGAAGTTGATGTCACTGCAGATATCGGTTGCCTAATAGAAATAATTTACCATCTTCACCTTATTGTATATTCAGCAGTATGACTTCACTCTCCGACTTTAAACTTGCTGTTTTTAGTTCTTTTTTTTTAAATTATAAACACTGATTAAGGGTATAAACATCTACTAATCTAAGAGGTAACTTATGTTAATTATAGTCTTGTAGAAACTAAATTTATCACTAATAAAACAAACTCTTAATAAGCAAAGTTGAATAATGGCTAGCAGTGAAATCCAGTTTGACGCACGTTTCGTCCTATTCAGGACTCGTCAGTTGGATGTACCTGCAAATCAGACGTGTTGATGTTCACTCTGCGACGACTCGAACCCAGTACCATTCACTTCAAATGCCATCGCGTTATCCACTCAGCTATCACTATTAAAACAAACTCTTAATAATAATGTTCTTTTTTTTAATACTTTGCACTATTCGGGGAACATTTCTTCAATGTATTTATTATATAAAAATGTATGGGGTTGTTGTTAAACAACATATCAACTATTATAGGGAAAATGACCTTATGAGTTGATTTAGAAATAGGCGAATTAATTTAGAAAATTTTTTTTGTTTTTTTTTTTTTAGAAAAACTCAATCGAACTCCAAATATGTACACACCCTTTTTTCCCCATTCTTTCTTCTTTTCTTTTTTACATGGTTAATGGAATTCTTAAGTTTTAATAATTGGTGATTCGAATTGAAAAGAGAGAGAGAGAGAGAGAGAGACGGAGAAAGTGTGTGTGTGTGTGTGTGAAAGAGCATATCTAGAGAGAGAGAGAGAGAGAGAGAGGGTTTACATAATCTGAAATAATTTATACAATGACTTAAAAGGAAAGTTTGTTATTACACAATACAATTCTGTAATCATGTTCATTATTTATAAGCAAAGATGGATAGTGGCTAGCAGTGGAATCCAGTTTGACGCGCGTTTCGTTCTATTTGGGACTTGTCGTCAGCTGGATGTACCTCCATCTCAGACTTGTTGATATTCATTCTGGGATTCGAACCCAATGACAGACTGATCAATTGCAGTCTTAAACCTCAATAGGAAGATTCAAGTAAAACAATATCAAGTGAATATTCATTATTTCATTAAAAAAGCTTCAATTTTTTGTGTTGGTAATTTTAACTATAATATACAAGATAATACAAGTTTATTCGTTTGACAATAAGCCACACTTTTTTTTTAATAATGAAGATTTATGCGTTTCATGCTAGTTGTGTTTTTTTATCAGGGGGGGGGAGGAGTAGAAGAATTTCACACTAATTTGTGTTACAATTATAATGTTTTTCCGGTACGATACCCAAAGATTTAGATTCAACAGTCAGATGCCAATCGATGGGAGAATTAGTGACATACGAGTTAATTTCCTTCAATCCCCCCTATGACAATATATATGATGTTTATTTTGCGTTTATCTCCTGTATATAAATATGTTGTATTATAACAACAACAAAAAAATCATACCATCTGGCTAGTGGTTTTGTTTTTGATCTATAATTATGTAGGGTCTTGTATCAATAATACAGTTTCGTGCATAGCCATCACTTTACCAGATGTTCCTAAGTGCTATTCATTATGTTTGTCTGTCTCGGATTCCCTGCGCACTGTGTTCTTTTTTGCCCTAAGAATTTCAATTCAAGACTTGTAAAACAGTTTGATAATTTGATTGATGTGGATCTATACTTAGTTTTATTTATTTATTTATTTTAACACATAGGTATTGGTACAAGGAGGCACCAAATACATATGCGCCACACAGACCTGATTTGGTATGTGTTAGGGCTGTGATACTGCCCGGGTGCCCAAACCGAAACAGGTGGTTTTCTTAGGGGGTCACACCCCGAACCTTCGACCTGAAGATCTAATCCACAAGTCAGTGGAGTATCGTAAGGAGATGTAGTTCCATGGTAGCCATTTGTTCCTTCAGGATACTGGAGCTAGCCCATGTGCATCATTAGTTTAGGATCCGGTTAGAGCCGGTGCCGGACATTCGCGTTTCATCCTCTCATTTTCGTAAACAACGGTAATGCCACGAGAAGTCAGTGAGTAGAGCTTTCCTGACAGAGGCTATATACTCGTGGCCATGTGAGAGCATTTGGAGAGGGAGAGCTGACTCTCCCCACTCTCGGTCATACCAAGGGATTTGGGGGCCTATACTTAGTTAATAAATTATATAATTTGCTAATTTCACTCTTATATACGTCTTTTTTGAGTTTATTTATTTATTTATACACACATTTTTTTGTTCTCAAAGCTTTAATGTACGCAAGTATATTTGGTAATGTTGGTGCATTAATTCAACGTCTTTATAGTGGTACAGCCAGATATCATGCTCAAATGTTACGTATTAAAGAATTTATACGTTTTCATCAAATTCCAAGTCCATTACGTCAACGATTAGAAGAATATTCTACACAAGTATGGGAGCATACAAATGGGATAGATATGACAATGGTTCAGTATAGTTTTCCAGAATCATTACAATCTGATATTTGTCTTTATGTATATCGTCATTTTTTAAGTGGATCAGCTGCATTTAAATGTATGTTCAAGGAAATATTAACCGTTATGATTTTATTATTTTTGTTGTTGTTTATTTAAAGAGTTTATGCACGTCTTTTTAAGTCATCATGTATTTACGAATTGAGTTTGATCATCAATCCTGACCGTAGCTGCTACCTTGACGCGGTTGTCGGGCCTGCATATCGTGATGACCCAACCGAGCTATATTGGCTGGAACATATATTCCTTCAGGTTCTACTATGCCAGGCAGGTCGATTGGAGAACGGTAAGACTAAAAGCAGCAACTCAAGGTCTGAGGGCGTAGTCGTACTGCTGACTGTACAGAGCTGTGACAGCAGTAAGGTGTTTCCCTCGGACAACCAGCATCTGCAGCGATGCTGCCTTCTCACAAGGAAGGAAGGGGTTAGAGAAGGTCGACCCTAAAAATGTCACACCTCACCTTACCCCACGGATTTCCGTCTCCGGCGGTAAGGCCCTTTGAAGAACGGAGCTAACACATTCAAAACCTCCCACAAAAAGGCCGTGCGCGACCGACCTCAAGCAGTTGTCTGCGGTCACGCTCCCAGCTCTACCACTATGGGATTTGAATCGATAACTACATCTCTGTGCTAATGTGGTATGTCAACTCGAACTGATGTACCTACGTACGTACGAAGTTCTACGTTGTTACTGACTGACTGACTTTATCATCAATGATCACACTAGATTATCGTTTTACTATATCGTGAATTGACTAAAGTTAAAAATATGAGTCATTGTGTTGGAACTAGATCGCTCAGTGGTTAGGTCGCTCCACTTACTTCAGTTTGGACAAATAGGTGGTATCATCATCCCTCACACTTAGAGTATTACTCAAAGCAGAGTGCACTAATCTGTACCTGATATATGAGGTATGAATTCATGTGAAACTTGATCTATGCACATTGCCTCAGCACATAGTCTACTTCCAGGTTAGACCCAAACCTACCAAAGTCTGATTGTTATAACAATGTCTGTTTATTTTCACATTTTGAGTCACGAACTGATCTTTGCTACACCAATATTGAAATCCTGGAAGTACTGGACGTCTTTTTTTGTCCTAGTAGGGAATTCCTCAAAAGTGCACATCCATGACTTTGTGACTGGGATTCAAACCCAGGATCTTCAGTGTCACTCCCTGGCTCTCTATAACACCTCAGATCAGTCAGTCAGTCAGTCATCATCAACGTTATAGTCTGACACTTATATGGATTAGCCCAGGATATCGTATCATATTAGTACGGTGAAGTAAAGTTAACAAGATGAATTATTAAAGAGACCAGTGTTGTTTAGTAGCAGTCACAATAAGAAAGTATAGGCATTTGAAATATAATTTGAAGTAGTATATCGCAAAGGTATCTAATAGAATTGAAGAATGAGAAGAAAATAAACATTCAATGCAGCTGTGCTATTTCGATTTATTCTGAACCAAGTTATCTAAACTGCTCCAGCCATTGATTCCAGTTACCTCAATTAAGATCAATCTATGATCTATGCAAGTGTAATGAACGAGAACACAGGTGGGGACAATCGAATGTATTTGACAACAAATTACAATGCTAGTTAGTAAAATCTAACTACCATATAGTAAAATGCTCAATTTGCAAAATGTTCATCAATTGTCTCAAATGACTCAGACTTTCTTTGTTCTTGCATTTTCATACAAATTGCATTGTGTTCCCGCTCTTCCTTTCTTGCTCTTCCCCCATCTTCTGCTACCAGAAATTCTGCTCACGACTAACATCATATACTACTTTTATCTACATAAGTAGCACACACCACTCTCGTCCCCCCTTTAAAGCAGTCGTTCATGCTCGCCGTGCAACATTCTTCTTTTCTACAGTCTATGCTACACCCTCCGTCAAAATGTTGATTATGTGGCGCGCTGACATCCTTAGCCCCGTCGACCTGCCGGGGTACCTACATCCGACATCCACCCGGCATCTGGGACGTCTAACACCCATGTTCCACCTGCCTTCTGAGCCATCTCCATCCGATGTCCGCCCAGAAGCCGCACGTCCCAGCGCTCCTCTCCGTCAACAACACCCGCTACAGCCAACGCCGCCCCACCAGAACACTCCACCAGACGCCACCTCTCCTCACCAGACTGCAGTAACCTGCACCTCAGCTCCAGGCCTGCAACGGCGTCCGCAGAACCGCACCCTCCTCTCCTGGTTGGCAGAAACACCAAATATAATGAACAGAACACGGATGGGGACAATCGAATGTATTTAACAACAAATTACAAAACTTGTTAGTAACACTCAACAATCATATAGTAAATGCTCAACTTACAAAATGTTCATCAATTGTCTCAAAATGACTCAGACTTCCTTTGTTCATGCATTTTCACACAAATTGCATTCTGTCTTCATTTTTTACTGTTCAATCTTCTTGTCTCTCTGCTACCAGACATTTTGTTCACGACTAACATCATATACTACTTATGTCTACATATAAGTAGTACACACCACACAATCAACAAGTAATTTTTTTCATTATGTTACTGTGTGTGTCCGTTTATGTATAACTACTTTGTCATTACTTGTATATTTATTTTCTATTTTATTCTGTTTCTTTTTTTTTTCTTTTTTCTCCTCACTTCATTTAGCATTAAATGATGGTTGTCTTCGAAATATCTCATTAAGAATTCGTTCTTCACATATGCCACCAAGTGATACATTAGTACATACTGGTGATTTACTTACAGCTATGTATTATGTTGTTAAAGGCAGTTTAGAAGTTGTTACAACAGATGATATTATATTAGGTGTATTAAATCCTGGTGATTTTTTTGGTGGTCTACCTCCATTAGCTAGTGTACAAAAAAATCCTTATACTGTACAAATGAATTCTGGATGGAATTATTGGTCAGAGAATCATTTAAATTATATGATGAATACAAATACAAAATATATACAAATGGATGATTATACATCTATGCCTAATACAACTGGTACTAATACTAATACTAATTGTAATAATAATAATAATAATAATACTAATACTACTAATAATAATCATAATTCAAATAGTGTAATTTATCAACCAAATCCACCGCCAAAATCACGTTTTGCTGTACGTGCATTAACTTATGCTGATGTACAATTTATTGATCGACATGATTTAGCTGAATTATGTTCTATTTATCCAGAATTATCATTAAGATTATTAGAACGTTTTGAATTAACATTACCATTAACTATTTCATCTGATACAAAATCTATCAATACTACTAATATGGTAAGTGTGATAGAATATGAGTGTATGAAAGTGAAGTGTAGAAAGGTTGTTTTCTTTGTTTCTTTGTAATTTAATCCTTTTTTCGAGGGGATAAAATCCATTAGTAACGCTTTAATCTTGTGGCCTTAATACTCCTTATTTTTTAGCTGTCTGCCCGTAGGTTCAGATGTATATGTATATATACATCCATGATATCCTGGAATACAACCATACTGAAATATTGAGTCTTCAGCCTAGAATGATATAAGTGGAAGTTGCATAGTGTCTAACAGTCGAATCTAGGACTCTAGTTCCGTCTGATATAAAACTTGCCACTCGGATGTACTTTGCTCCCTAGTGTTGATACTTATCCAGCTATCACATGTCCCAAAATGAGATGAAACGTAAATCCTAAATGTCTCTGCTTGCCACTACCCAACTCTCTTTTGTAATGCTTATGACTAGTGGTAATCCGCAATCGAGAATGTATGTATACCAGAAGAGGTCGGTCGATTGCAGTCCTTAATATACCATCAACTGGAAGAACCGAACTCTTACAAGTAACTGATATAACTGAAAGTATTTACAAGTGATATTTTATAGAGAAATTTAAAATAGAGATTAATTTTAAGGTTGTTATTCGTTGTGTTCGTTTGTGTAATGGTAAAACCTGTAAAATATTAACCGTTTCATAAATGTCTTCTCAAGGCTTCAAACCAATAAGGCTAAACTCGTACAAATCAGTTGATAACATTGTGAATTTTCATCGACTGATATGATTCGGACATAGATTACATATACTCAACTGTAGTCTATTTTGATAAGCGATATTACTTCTGTAGGAGTAAATTGTAAGAAAACTTGTGGTGGCCAAAATAAGATGTTATAATAGACAAGGAAATAATTGGCTATTAACGTGAGCCATGTTAGTAGATACAGACTAATTGGTTTAGATCTACGCGATGATCACAATCAACAGTTGGAGATGTTGGTTGCATGACTTAGAATCTGTCTCAATTACATCCACTCACTATATTGAGGTTCATTTTTCTCTGCATACATACTTTTATATTTCTCTTTCTGAAACCATATTCTCAGCGTCCAGTCTTTTTCATTATCATCAAAATGCTTTTACTCTACAAATGCCCTGGTATGGTCGAGGGTGCGGAGAGTCCGCTCTTTCTCTTTAAATACCAAAGCGCACATAGCCACTGTCAGGGAAGTCCGACTCATTGCCTTCTCACGGAGGGGGTGTTGTTTACGAAATTGAGAGCACGAAAATCGAATATCCAACACTTTATGTGGGTTAGTGGATATTGAGTATCCACCTAGGGGAGTTGGAAAACCTTGATTCCAAATTAATGGTGCACATGGGTTCCAGAATCCTGAGGAAACAAATGGCGTACGAACATATTGATGGTCACCAGTTACCATGGGATTACATCTTACATTGCTCCCTACCTTGTGGATTAGAAATTTAGCTCAAAGGCTTGTGGTGTAGCCCTCTAAGAAAACCACCTGCTTCGACTTGTGCGCTCAGACAGCCTCACAACCATCACATAAATCAATGATAACTACTACTAGCCTCATTGTTATTGTGTGGTGCATATGCATTTGGTGTCTCTTTGTACCAATGTTAATGTATTCAAATCAATAAATAAGGGAACCTATGAAAGTAAAGTACACTTTCACCTTTTGAGTATTTCATCCATATGATTTTAATTCTTCCCATGATATAAGAACCCAATCAAGCTACTAGAAAAAAATTGTTATCTTTCCATATGTTATCCCATAATTTATCTATTTAGTTCTGTTCATTTTAATGTGTTTTTATCAATATGTCATTACATTTATTTTAATATTATTTATTTGGACTCATAGTATCGGTACAAGAAGGCATCAAATATAAATGCGCCACACAAATCTCATTTGATAGTTGTGTGGGTTGTGATACTGCCCGGGTACCCAAACTGAAGCAGGTGGTTTCCATAGGGGGCCACACCCCGAGCCTTCGACGTGAAGATGTGATCCACAAGGCAGTGGAGCATCGTTTGGAGATGCAGTTCCATGGTAGCCGGGGACCAACAATCGGCTCATACGCCATTTGTTCCTTCAGGATAGTGGAGCTAGCTCATGTGCACTATTGGTTTGAGATCCGGTTATGGCGCCAGACATTCGCTTTTCGTCCTCTCATTTTCGTAAACAACAGCAATGCTACGAGAAGTCAGTGAGTAGGACTTCCGTGACAGAGGCTATATACGCGTGGCCATGTGAGAGCATTTGGAGAGGGAGAGCTGACTCTCCCCATTCTCGGCCATACCAGGGCATTTGGGGGCTTATAATTAGTGGTAGCTTTATCCAATGGAGTTCAATCACAAATAGAATGATCATTAGATAGACATGACTGATATGTTAATCGATGATAGTTCCATCATATTGAATTGTTGCAAGTTTGTTATGTGAACTATTAGATAAAAAAATATATTGAATGGTCTAAGGGTATCATTTTTGTTGAGAAGCTTAAAGGTTCTCGGCAGTCATATGCTCAAATGAGGAAACTATTTCTTGCTTCCTGGTTTTTAGTGGCTATTTAAGTAAAGTTTATTCGCGATAAATATGTAGTGAACAAGAACACCAATGGGGACGATTGAATGTCTTTGACGGCGAATTACAGAGCTAGTTAGTAAAATCTAACAACCATATGTAGTAAATGCTCAATTTGCAAAATGTCCATCAATTGTCCCGAAATGACTCAGACTTCCTTTGTTCTTGCATTTTCATACAAATTGCACTCTGTTTTCATTCTTTACTGTTCGATCTTCTTGTCTTTCTGCTGCCAGACATTCTGTCCACGACTCACTTCATATATTAATCATAAAACATACATTTAAACAGTAGATAGACATATTGATTGTATCATTCACCTTATATTATCATACAATGATGGTTTGGCGAGTATTGTGAATATTATACAAATAATTATCAGGTATATAATTCGGATAAACCCTTCATTCAGATTACTTTTATGCGACTTTATAATTTAAAATTTACCGTTATAGGTCTATACCTGAAAGTATAAGTCAATTATGAGCGAGGGGCGTAAACAATTAATGGGATATACCATTCACTTAATCATGTGTTACATAACTACAAGTGTAATATCAATAGTTAGGGTTAGGGTTAAGGTTAGGGATTTAACTTAGAAAATCAATCTAGAAGCGATTTAATCTCTCTTTGTGTAATATAATGGATTAACTTTGGAAAATATGTTCTAACGATAGCTAGACATTAAAATAACTCAAGACAAAGTTTAAAATGTTCCAGTTCAATATGAATACACAATATACAATATTGTCAGTCATTAATTTAAATCTGATACTTAAAAATTAATTTACTTTCGAAGCCAATCGGTTTTTTGATACTGAATTTTATGCTCTGGTACGGCCGAGAGTGGGATGGGCCCGCTATCCCACTCTGGAAATGCTCTCACATGGCCACGTATATACAGCCTCTGTCAGGGAAGTCCTACCCACTGAATTCTCGCATCACGAGTGATGTTTACGAAAATGAGAGGATGAAAAGCCAATATCCGACGCGGCCTGCTTGAATATCTGGGCTACCTGTTCCTCCCATCTAGATATTTCGTCAAGTTATCTTTTTTCTTGTTTGTTTTAACACACTATTATGTCTTTTGAGCTCACAACCTATTCAGGCGCGTTTACGAAAAGTTTACAACCTTTCGGTGTACGGATTACAAAAAGGTACAACCAGCGACATCATGGTGGCTTGCAATATGCATTGAAACGAATGAACATTATTCAAATGTCGATTATCGAACTCCTAACATCTAACTGGCCATCACTCAATATTTATCGTCAGGATCGATCAAGATATAAGTAAAGGAAACTTGTTGAAATACATTATGCTGAGAATTCAATTGTGTACCACAAATATAATGTTGAATAAAGCTAATAATAATAATAATAATAAAAATAATTTAACCGGATCCCAAACTAATGATGCACATGGGCTAGCTCCAGTATCCTGAAGGAAAAAATGGTGTATGAACCAATCGTTGGTCACCGGCTACCATGGGACTGCATCTCCTTACGATGCTCTACTGACTTGTGGATCAGAACTTTAGGTCGAAGGCTCCGAGTGTGGCCGCCTGGGGAAACCACCTGCTTTGGTTTGGGCACCCGGACAGCATCACAGCCCTCACACATATCAAATGAGATCTGTGTAGTGCATATGTATTCGGTGCCTCCTTGTACCAATATCTATGTGTCAAAATAATAATAATAATAATGTTCTATTCATTCAAAAACCATGAAACAAATAATTTTATATGTACTAAGTGATATACTACTTAATTAAGTTGCTTAAAGTAGTGTATTTAATGTTTTATTAAATTCATAAAATTATCATTAGTATTTGAATTCTTTTCATTGTATAGGATCGTTGTTCTACCATACCAAATGTTGAATCTTTTTTGGATGCAACATCATCATGGCATATTGTTTGTTCACTTTTAACTAGTTCATTAACATCACCTGAATTAATGAAACATTCAAATGATTATATGTTCAATGAAACATCATATCAAAATAGATATTTTGATAATCCATTTATTGGGAAACCATTATGGGAATTAGAACGTTATCAACGTTTATTTGATCATGGTGCATTATCATTTCATTTAACTGGTTATTCAAATACTCAAATTCCTGTATGTTTTATTGATACATTATATAATAATAATAATAATAATAATAATAATAATAATAATAATAATAATAATAATACTTCAGGTGTTACTGTACCGTCCACACATCAACATCATCCAGTTGCACGTAAATCAGAATCATTTACTATGTGTTCAACGCATTCATCTGAACAAAATCATTCATTACCTATTACACCTGTAACAAATACACAAACATTACATGAACGTCGAATGCGTATGCGATTAGCGCGTAATCTTCCAACTAGACAACATCAACAAGTATCACATTCAACAATACCATCAGTTTTAGTGCCTCCTATTTCTTCTTCTTCTTGTTCTTCTGTTTCAAATCTTCCAGTTAAATCCTCTGATAAAAATCGCATGATTCATTCATCTGTGATATATCCACCGACAACTTTACGTGATTTGAATCATTTAAATGAAGAGAAAGAAATTATTGATTTGCTTGTGAAGCGTTTTGCTAATGTAGAAAAGTAAGTGGATTTATTTTTCTTATTTATTCATTTTGTTACTTACGTCTGTTGCGTCTCATGGAGCATGGTCCTCCGACCATAATTCTCCAAACTACTCATATATTTATATATATATCATGAAGATTTTCAGCTTAAATGGATACTTTTGATGTTGTCGAATTCTCTGGACTTGTTGGTTGGATTGAAAAACCTTCACAGTCGTTCTGGACAACATTACCATCCATCTCATTCAGAGATAAGCTTCTTAACTATTCCACTAGCCTTAAATAAGTGTCTCCTTGTTAACCTCGTTTGTTATTGATTTCCGTTACATATTTGGTTGTCTCTGTTTGTTGTTTTATTCAAGCTAACTATCTTGGTTAGTTGATCTCTGACCATGTGCTTGATTAACATGTTTCGAATGGATTGATAAAGCGAGTCCAATCCTATGTATCCTAGACTACTAATTGGTGTGAATATCATGCTTTCAGAAATCTTCTGTTATTCTTAAAATTCCCTTAAGTCGGAGTTTTGACGTTTTCCTAGTCAAATTCATGTCCATATTAGTTTGCATGCGTCAGTCATTCATTAACAACGTAGAACCTGTGTGTAGGTATATCATTTCGAGTTGCCATACTCCATTTACACAACGAGATTAAGTTGTCTGACCAAATCCCAGAATAGTAGTGATAAAAACAGTATCAGTGGTATTGGGAAGGATTTGGCGTCGAAGATTCGACCCAAAATGAAAATACAAATTAGCGAAATAAAAACATTGTTATGAAGTATTTAGGTCCTCAGAATTCGGAAGAAGACAAAGAATGGGTGCACCTGCGCCATTGCAAGTGATTTTAAACCATGTGATTGAAAGTCGCTAATCATTGGTTACGATAATCATGCGGACTCCAACCAAGTGACCTGTACCTGTTCATTAAGCTACTGTTTTTAGTCTTACCGTTCTCCAACCGACCTTCCTGGTATAATTGGACATAAAGCAACATGCGTTTCAGCCAATATAGCTCGACTGAGTCATCGCGATAGACAAGTCCCACCTCCACATCAAGGTAGCAGCTTCTATCGGGTTTTGCATGTGTGGATGTTAGCAATAGCATATCGTAGCGTTTCACTAATGGACAGCATGTGTTCGTGTATGCATAAATCAATAGATTGCTTACCTTGTTCAATATAGTGTTGGTTACAATCGAGGCAGTCTATTGTGTAGATTATGTTGCATTTGTCTTCTTTTTCTGTTCTGTCTTTTGGTCTGCATATAATCGCATGAAGTGAATACGTTGGTTCATAGGTCACATTTATCTCAGGTTTTTAAAATCTCTTAAATACTGATCAGATATCTCGTAAAGCTATCAGTTCTCGACAATCAGTCCGAAATAAGGCCACAACAACAAACTTGTTTGATACCTGTGAAATAAGTACGAAGTTCCTTTCTACATGAAGTGAGGTCTGGTACTATTTTCCAGAATGAAAACAAAATCTCCGCAGTTGAACCATCTAGCTTAAAGAATTTATTATTATTATTTTAACACATAAGTATAGGTACAGGGAAGCACCAAATACATATGCGCCACACAAATCTCAATTGATTTGTGTGAGGGCTGTGATACTGCCCGGGTGCCCAGACCGAAGCAGGTGGTTTCTTAAGGGGCCACACCCCGAGCCTTTGACCTGAACGTCTGACCCACAAGGCAGTGGAGCATCGTAAGGAGATGCAGTCCCATGGTAGCCAGCCGGTGACCAACGATTGGTTCATACGTCATTTGTTCCTTTAGGATACTGGCGCTATCCCATGTGCACCATTGGTTTGGGGTCCGGTTAAAGCTCCAGACATTCGCTTTTCGTCCTCTCATTTTCGTAAACAACACCCCCGCCACGAGAAGTCAGTGAGTAGAACTTCCCTGACAGAGGCTATATACGCGTGGCCATGTGAGAGCATTCCGAGAGGGAGAGCGGTCTCTCTTCACTCCCGGCCGTACCAGGGCATTTGGGGGCAGCTTAAAGAATGCAACAATCTCTTTCTTTCTTTCTTTCTCTCTTTGAGTTATGAAAACTAGTGATTCTGCTTGGTCGTAGTTGCTCAAAAGTAAATTATATGAGTAAGGGTTTGAACCAGCGATTTAATCGAACTTATTCTGTACGTGAATTCCGAAATGCACTTCTACGCTTTTACAGAAAGCCTACACGTAATACTAAATAAATACTATAGGATATAAACAGTACCAAAACATAGTTGTTGACATTTTTTCTTTCATATCTTCTCTGTGACAAAACTTGATAAGAAGGTTATATTCAAATTCATAGGTTAATTATATATGACTTGGAAATAATTTGGGTAATTATAGGGTTGAAGGTGAATAGTAAATAAAAGTTTTGGCATATAATAATAACAACCTAGTAACGTTTTACAACTTAATCAAAGATTAAACAATAAATATGATAGAGATTACACTACTAAATGATTTACTAGTAGTATATTTAAATCTTCCTGAATGATTTAGCAACCTGTTGTTTTATTCTTCACTATTTTATCAATAAGGGGTTGTACATACTGTTGAATTTCATTGAAATTACAAACGGATGGTTATTCTGTTTGAGTGTGCAGCTTCTCAACAGTAAGCATCCACAAATTCACACATGGGAATCGAACCCTGAACTTTCGTTCTTACGCGCGAACGGCTAGCCTCTAAACCACCATTTATGTTGATGTTTAACTTCAACCAATCCACAATATATTACGCGACCATCTTTCATTGTGTTCAGTAGATAACTGACTTACACCTGATACGGTTTAACTTCATTTGTCACGGTTTTTAACTAGAACTCTTCAATATGGGAGTCGTGGAAATTATCAAATTTGATTGGAATTATCTCTTTTGATTCAATAGTTTGTTTGTGTGTACGTGTATCATTAAATAATAATAATAATAATAACTTAGTAATCTTGTTGTATGTTAACTTGATCGAAAATCGATTGCTTCTTGTAAATTAACTGTATAGTATTGGTGTATGTATATATATATGTGTGTGTGTTAGGGAATCATTGCATGATTTTGCCTACTTCCTAACCTTTTATTCTATCTAGTCTATGTGAGAAATCTGTGTACTATCACTTTACGAGTGACTAAGTTCTTGACCCTTGTTAGTGGATTATGATGATTCACATGCCCTATCTATAAAAAGTTAGTTTTATTTATATATCTATCCATATATATACGACTGAAAGTTATTACTTGTCTGTATGCACGTTTGTGTAATGGAATGTATCAATTTGTCCGGTGTTTTGTGATACCATGACAATACTACAAGTCTAGTCCTCTCTACACCCATATGCAGTTTAGTCCATAGATTGATAAATTAACCAATCACAATAAGGCTTTACATATATATATATATATATACCTTCATGTTATGGTGAACGTTTAATGAGAATGAATTTCGGATGTAAGTACCAATGGTTGTTTCATTATAGTAAGGTAGGTGACGTATGTTATTTTAATAAAATAATTAGAATTATCTTGTGTATTGAATTGGTCGAATAGTTTACAATAGTATTCATCATCTAGTCCCTTAGTGTGAGTAGTTATGTTGATTCAGATTTTGTGATACGTAGACATTTGACCAATATAAGAGAACATTTACTTAATTAAACTTTCTCATGTAGTATATTAACCATTATTCCTCTTTACTTTACAACTATATTGTAGATACACTTAGGTTACTAGTATTCAATCTTATGTCTTTAAAGCAATTGCCCTGGTAGGTTGGAACCACTAAATGAGTAATGTTGACGCTAGATGCAGAATACTAGGTGAAAATAGTTGGTACAACTATAAACCTTCATCATCTGAAGTGATTGTGATATACACTACGTATCTCCAACACCCGTCTACTTCGACATGGGATGTTGGCTGATATAGGAGTAGGTTGGGTTGGAACTAGTAGGCGATCAAATGAAAACGTGGCATCAATCCATAAACTTATAGATTCCTGCATTGAGTTGTTTTGGTAAATTTAAACTTCCTGTTCGGGGTTTGCCGAATAACCACGATTAGTGGTTAGAAACATCTGGTGGTAACATGTCTCATAATCGACCACAAATACACGACTATATTCAATCCTTGTTTTGCCAGAGTTTAGAAATTATCTTCTACCTTTTGTTAAACGAATTCGTCCATTATTACTGAATCATATCCCCTATTTTTCATAATTTTTCTATTTTAATCTCATTGCCACTACTGTTCCTTCAACTCATTTTCTATTTATCTTGTAAATTATCACACTATGATATAGTGTATCTAGCGGTGTATATCTTGTCTTAAAGTACTCTGGGTGCTATGGGAACATACAGAGCAGCGCATGTGAGGAAATATACAAAAAGAGAAAATGAGCCGACGACTTAGTTAGTACATAAAATCCACTTACATTTAATCATGAAAGCGATCGATAACAAACAGTAATAGAGTGCAACTAAGACAATTCAATGATCACAACTGGTAGTATTCCCATGAGATTTCGTATCCGTTTAAGTTTGATGTCATAACTCAGACTGATTTAAATATGCGCTACATTCTATTTTACGTATAATTGGTTGAGGGTTGATTATGGTCTAAATCAGTGACTTGTGAATTGACATTTGATATCACAAACAACACAAAAATTAGTTTCTCAAATCTTAATCATTCATCATTATATGTTCAGCTTGGGACAAATGTACTCTAATCAAAGTCGCCATAACACTTGAATCCTACAGTATAGTGTTTTTCTTTTTAATATTATCCTTTCGTAATCTTAAAATAATTGAGTTTGTTGTTTTTCACCTCATATTTATACCTTGATGATTAACTAATATGCTTCGGTCTGAGCACCCAGGCAGTATCACAGTTCACACATAAATCAAATGACTTGTATGGTGCATATGTATTCAGTGCGCCTTTATACCAATATTTATATCTCAGTAGTTGAGATCAGGAGTCAATTGAAGCTTATTATTTATTTGAACACATACA